GTCCAGAAGTTATGTTTCGTGTCTGTAAACTTAATCACCATCAGGTTGCCATGGTCACGGCCATATTGACCCCATTGACTGGTTAACTTTCCTGGGTTGTTGGGAAAGCAAATTTATTGCACTTTGTGTTGATTTCGTGTTGCGAATCTTTTAAACTGACGCCGATGTGGGTTAGTACATGCGCAAGTTAGTAAGATTTATTGAATGAACAATAATGATATTGGCGTGGAGACCACTTACGTCAGATGACATATCTGCCAATTAAGAGCACAATTTCACGCACCCACTTTTTTCTGCTAAAACAAATTTTGTTGTAGAATGCATCATTTAGCATAAAATCCGGCGATTATTGCGAAGAAAAAAAGCCAGGAGAGTTAATGAGTCAATGGGGTCAATATGGCCGTGACCATGGCAACCTGATGGTGATTAAGTTTACAGACACGAAACATAACTTCTGGACAACAATATGGAGGCAACATCTTGTGGAGTTGTTAGTACGGGTTTGTGGCGTTGCTAATGCCCCCGCCATGTGGGTGTTTCGGCTTTCGTCAACGTATCACGCCATTTGGAATAACATGTTTGCGGTGCACATCCAATGGTGGTGTAGTGGAGTGAGTTTTCTTGGCATTAATAACTGGCGTGGATTTTATGCTAAACGATGCATTCTACAACAAAATTCGTTTGAGCAGAAAGTCGTGGGTGTGCAAAATTGTGCACCTAATTTGCAGATATGTCATCTGACTTGAGTGGTCTCCACTCCACTGTCAAGAACCAACGTACCTGTGCAAATTATTTGCTTGTGTCAGCTCTTAGTCTGCAACTATCATGGCAGTTGGCCTGTGTCGTGATACACTGACACCACCATAACTTTCAACATTTTGATTTAGAATATCGTCAATATCTGAGGTTAATATCAGTGCAATGCTGGGCAGCCATGCAGATGTTTTTGACAAACGGCTAGCTAACAAACTAGATACTGCACGTGATAAAATATCAACTTATTTGCAAAGAATTTGTTGATAATTGAGTAACATGGTTCTTTTTAGAGTGGTTGTCTGTGGTATTATAATGCTCTGCCCGTCCAAATGCCTCATGTCTTCATGAAGACAGCAACGATTGTGAACAACACGTTTGCTCCAGCCTCTTTCTTTGCCGCATTGGTCTGTTTTGCGTTGGCTTTATTTGATTGTTTATTTTAAATTTGTCATTGTTTGTACATGTATTGAATGTTAGAACAGGAATAACACAAGTTCACAGTGTGGATGGTGATATATTTCCACTTTTGACAAGCAAAATGATGACAGTCAATCACCAATGCATTTCAAATTAAATTGATTAAGGGCTGCTGAAGTTGAATTTATTTCTTTAAAGTCCAGTGTTTAGGCTGCCAACGGCATCATCCAACTGCGAACCAAACTATACGATCGTTTAAATGGATAGTTGTGAGCAGTACAAATCCCACCTGGCTTGGAGGTAACACAAAGCTAATTATACTTATGCAGCGTACAAGGCACTCCTATCGAGACAAAACGCTTAATTAAACTGTCGTAATTTTTTATCTTTAACCTTTTTGGCTCGTTGAACTTTATTCTTCAAAGATAATTTAAAAGTAATTGCAAACTTTAATCAAACACAAATTATGCTGCAGATATAGATACAACAAATGTGTAGACATAAGAAAATAAAATTAGAAAGAATAAGGCAATTGCTGTTTATTGTTGTTAAAAAACATTTGGACAATAATTTAGTCTCGTTTTGCAAAAGAAACTAAAATAGGTGCATTTAAGTACGTTGTTTTTATTCTGCATATCAGATAAATCATAATATATCTAAATCACACTATTGCCTATATTGTGATAATGTTCTAACATGAAGTGATATAAACATTCGAGTTATTGTTTGAATTTTGTGTAGTAATACTAAATTAAGTAGGTGTTTTTACATAATTTCTTGATTAGATTTGCTAAATCAAGGTTAGATGCAATGGGCAAGTCAGAACCCAGTCACTTATTTGTATTATGTATTATCAGATGCATCTCGACCATAAATGTACAACATAGGAGTTAAGTGTAGTTTAATTAGTCGTTGCTGAATAGTAGTAATACCTTAATGAATTTTGTCAAGAGACCCTGCTCAGGTTTACTTGCAATTGAGTAATGCGGAATGGCCATTATGCACAAATGAATGAATTTTTTACATGCCTTTTTCACTTGTTACCATGGTTTTTGAACAAAAACGCTGTCATAATATATGTGTGTTTTGCTCTCCAAATTATAAATTAAGCCAATTAGACAGAGACTTTGAACCGACTACTAGAAACGCTGTAAGCGTCATTTCAGCTTGCTCTAAGAAGACAACTAACCCAATTGGTGACAATGACTTCCCAAGTCAAGAGAGGTGAGCTCTTCTCTTTCTGTTATGTTGTAGGTCAAAATTTTAAAAAAGAAGAGCTGATGATAATGACAATTTCAGAAATAATTTCTGAATTGTTGAAGGCTGTCAAAGACCATAGAGACATTAACCTTAATAAGTGAGATGAACCTTATTGTAATTCCTGAGGCTTAAAACATCCATTTCTCGAAAATACGGGCTTTCATCACAGCCACGACTTGTAGATATTATTTCAGCGGTGCCACCACAGCATAGATATGTAACGCGAGTTCGATTTCCTTCATAACTTTTGCAGGTACTCCTCCCTAAGTTAAAAGCAAAGCCTGTTCGCTCAGCCAGTGGTGTACGATTTCGTTATTCAACACACTAACTACTTAGATTGTTGTTGTGGCCGTGATGTGCAAGCCTCACAGGTGTCCCCATATAGCAATGACGGGGAATGTATGTGTGTAAGTTTGTCTCTTGTGTCACAATTCGCTCTAGTTACTGTCCCGGCGGGCCAGATTCTGACTTCGAATATTCAACCCAGTCTTATACTGGTTATGAGGTTGGTTTGTGTTCTTAATCTAGCGTCTAGCCTACGTCAATGCGCGCTATAAGGGCCAGGTATCACCCCTACGTTCAGACACGTCACCGCATCGAACAGGTTATACCCGTCGTGTTTGATTTCTCTAATCCGCTGTAGTTACAACAACTTGGGCATTCTTGTGATAAAGTTGAGTTTATTGTCATGGGTGGCACATTTATGTGTCTGCCAGAGGAATATCGGGATTATTTTATTAGGTAGGACCCCCAGAAATTATTTTATTCCCTAGAAATCTCCATGATGCATTATCTGGTCACACGTCGAAAAACGTAGCGGAGGCTGTCTAGTATGTTGAGATTAGTAATTTATCATTTTTTTGAAGTTATTCGGAGAAGAGTAAAACAAAGTGCATTGGTATCACAATTGAGACAAGGCCCGATTACTGCCTCAAGAAGCACCTAGGGTAAGCGTTCAACTAATCGAATTTGGCTTCACTTAGAGAAATGTTGAACTATGGATGTACGCGACTTGAAATTGGCGTTCAGAGTGTCTACGAAGACGTCGCTAGAGACACAAACAGGTGTGTACATTGGTTGATTGTCGTGATTTCATTCGCCTCTAGAGGTCATACTGTAAATGCAGTTTGCGAATCGTTCCACCTTTCAAAGGATGCGGGTTTTAAGGTCATAGCACATATGATGCCCGACTTGCCGAACGTAGGCTGGGAGCGCGACCTGGCACAGTTTGCGGAGTACTTTGAGAACCCTGCCTTCAGGTCTGACGGCTTAAAAATCTACCCCACCCTGGTTATTCGGGGAACCGGCTTGTACGAACTATGGCGGACTGGGCGGTATAGCAGTTACCCACCTAACATGCTTATCGACCTCATTGCCCGTATTCTTGCACTGGTTCCGCCCTGGACTCGTGTTTATCGGATTCAAAGGTTTGTTTTTGATTATTTCGCCCCCGGGAGCATTAGAATGGGTATGTCTTGACCAAAGCTTTCGTGTTTCAGGGACATTCCAATGCCGCTTGTGACAAGTGGTGTTGAACACGGAAACCTAAGGGAGCTCGCTCTTGCGCGAATGGCTGAGCTCGGTGCAAAGTGCCGTGATGTCCGAACCCGCGAGGTCGGCATCCAAGAAATCCACAAAAATGTCCAGCCATCTCAGGTACAGGCCCCCACCCCTCTCCTGTGTGTCCGTCGGACCTCTAAAACCCTTTCTCATGTCCACAAAATCCATTTAGACGTAACAACTGCTAAGTTTGATAGTGTCAGTACACGTAACTTTGACCCTTAACACCATTACATCGTGATGCATATTGATTACTTGTTCACAGATCGAACTCATTCGTCGCGACTATGTTGCTAATGGGGGCTGGGAGACATTCCTTGCTTACGAGGATCCTCATCAAGACATTCTAGTTGGCTTGCTACGATTGCGGAAGTGTTCACCCGAGACATTCCGACCCGAACTGCGGTGTCGGGGTGAAATTGGCGACGACGACGACGACCCACTTTGCTCGATTGTGCGCGAATTGCACGTTTACGGTAGCGCCGTCCCCGTGTCAGCCAAGGACCCAACCAAATTCCAACATCAGGTACTTCTTAGTTGGCCCATCGTTAAATTGTGTGTGTGCGTGTGCAGATTTCTTGAGTATTTGTTTTTTTTTTTAGGGTTTCGGGACCTTATTAATGGAAGAGGCAGAACGCATAGCAAGGGACGAACACGGATCGGTAAAAATTGCGGTGATTTCAGGTGTTGGAACCCGGAACTATTATCGCAAGCTGGGTTACGAACTCGAAGGACCCTACATGGTCAAGAGCCTCCGTGAACAAACCAGGGAAGTCTTCTGCGCTGCGTAGCCCCCAATAAACTTTTGCGAAGTGCACTCCGCGAAAGGCATGGTGGCTTGCATTGTAATAAAACGCGTAGATTTCATGAATTCCTCCTGGGTAGTTGGGTCACTTTAAATTGTTGATTAGCATTTAGCAGGTTACCGGCGATCGCGCGAGAGCGATGCCTACCCTATTTCGTCGGTTACTGTTACCAGATGCCTGTCATCCGTTCACTCATCTGCGTACACACACTTAGCTGGCTTAAATCTAAGTAACGGTCGTGTCCATTATCGCCTGTCTTGTCTTTGTTTTTGGCCTTCTTAGGGACTGTTAAGTAGAGGGTTGTAAGGTAGCTCTTAGATAACTCAATTTTTGTGACCCTGACAAACAAAACAATATTGTTTTTGCCTTCGTCGATTGGTGATTTATGTCGGATTTTCACAACGTTCTCTTTCGTTAACAATGAGTGATCCCATTGCTCCAAACCTCTGTTCGGAAAACATTTCAGTCAACTTTCTCTCGTACAGCTCCAAAGCCCGAGCATAGTCTACGCGAATAGAGGCTCATTTTCGGAAATCCGAAGACTCTCTCTAATGTCTACAAGTGTTGACATATTGTTATACGGCTACTGAGATTTCGCAATAAAAGTTATCGACCTGCTTGGAACAATGCCATTTGAAAACCTCTATAAATTTGAAAGATGCTGTCCTCACAAGAACGACCAGTTTGGACGAGGCCCGTCGCCGACACCTACTTTCTGGTATCGAATTAGTTGATTGACCTCAACTCCTTCGGCATTTACGCCTACTGGTTAGGGCAAACAACGAGCTAAATCTCTCACGGCAAACATGACCGCAATCATCTGATCCCAAGGCAGAAATGACATAAAATCAACGAGTATCCCTTCCATGGAGTGCGGTATCAACCCATCTCCTCTAGCGTAGCAGCCAGCCAACCTCTAGCTGGGAATGGGTGAATTATCTTTTAGAGCTGCAGATGCGGGGATTTGGGATTCCTCCTGGGTAGCTGGGTTACTTTAAGTTGTTGATTAGTATTTAACAGATTATCGGCGATCGCACGAGAGCGAAACCTATCCTACTTCACTGGTTACTGTTATCGGACGCCTGTCATCCGTTCACTCATTCATGTACACACACTTGGCTGGCTTACGCCTAATTATCGGTCGTGTCCACTGTTGCCTGTCTTGTCTCTGTGTTCTGGATTTTTAGGGACTGTTAACTAAAGACCACAGTACGCCTAACGCCCTGAATGTAGACTCAATCTGCGTCCGAATAAATATCATACTTATGCGTTACTCAGCATTCCTTAGGGTTGTTCTTTTAGCAAGTAACGTCTGACCGACGATATGCCCATTTACGACTATGGCCTCCTCTGTCCTGGCCTCATTAAAGAATTGTCAACAAATAGCATAAACTAACAGACACCACGCACTCGCAACCTATTCCACACCCCTACCTGTATGTGCTAAAGAGTGCTAGGCGCGCTAAGTAGAAGGACATTTTATAAAAATGCAAGGTATTTACACATCAGGGCCCTCGCCACCAGGAACCATCATAGCAATATGACTTCCATTAAGGAGGATGTGGGAGAGTTTGGTTATTCGCTTGCCCTGTGCAGTGAACTCAAACTCAGTGACATCCTCTAGAACCATGTTCACATATCCATCGAAACCGAGCAGCATGCCAACCATTTCTTTGTCATTCTTCATAATAATATGTATCCGCGATCCAATACACTTGTCGATTAATTCCAAGGGGAGTAAGTAAGATGATTCAACAGCAGACTCCATTATAGCTAACCTAGGAAACAATGCTGATGACATTAATTCGAAGGATATTCTCAATTATGTTAAGCAATTTATGGAGCGGCACAATTCCTGATATCGATGCTTTTAGAATACCGGTTGAGGAGAAGAGGGAACTCATTTTAGAAGTCAAAGCAAGAAAAGCCCTGGAAGTTTCAGCTAGTGAGAGATAATTGTACGATTCGGCGTAATCAGGTGGACGAAGACATTAAAATTCAGTCAGCAAACCACGCTAAATATTAGATCCAATACACTAACCGAAGCAATCACTTCAAAGCGAGTTCGCAGCCGAAAAATGTGGGCAATTTAAGAATTGATAAAAACAGCATGCTTTCTTACAAGTGCATTAATCGAATAAAAAGAAATTCAGGTACAAACTAACTCATTTCGTTTTAACTATGAGCATTCATCGGATAAGCTACGCATAAAATCAAGATACAACTACTACGGAAAAAGGGTAACAGTGTTTTCCACGAATACTTATAAACTAAAAATCATGATAAATTAGATAACTTGAAAGAAGCTTAGTGACTTCTAGCATTCACTGTATGTAAAAAAGCTGTTAATCCGAAAAACGAGTTAACCACACCTTAGGGGAAATTTGAAATCGTTGTTCAAATTCCAACCGAGTTAAACTAGAGTTCATAATTCAATTAATTAATTATTTAACTACGTTAAACATACCTAATATCATTAAAAAGAAAAATATTCTAGTAAAAAATCTGAGTGGCAAACTTTTTAACTTCTGATTGAATGTGTCCATGTTCGAAATCTGTTGATGAGTAATCGGATTGCGGACGATTCTGAAAGATCGTTCTAAATTCCACGTTCAAACTCTATACAGACACTTAAATTATAGCAAACAACACAACTTACCTTTACATACTTCGTGTAGATTTTAGTATACAGTTAAATTAACTACGAAATAATAACTATCTAATATCCATCATTCTATTGCTCGTTCAAAATGAATTCCAAAAATAGGTGTAAAGATGTGAAATTGTGCTGATTTAATTGTTTTGCATAGTTGGGCCCTTTTAATCAATCTTTCAGGTTTTCTATGCGAGCAGTAGTTTGGTCGATGCAATGACATTTTGCCTAATGTAGTTAAGGCTCCGCAAAGTTAAGGCTCATTCTCTTTCTAATAATGAAAATCGTGCCAGATTGTGAATTCACCCTTCATGAAAACAGAATAATTTGAACCTGGATAACCACAGCGTTTTTTCACATCTGCATTCTTGCGATTCTTCTCACTTTAAGAGAGGCCCCGGAAATTCCGTTTAGTAGCTTAAATCATTCCCGAAATTAGTTTTGTCATATATTTTATTAATGTGCAAAGTTTTGCCACTAGAGATTTTTCAAATTTCTTCAGAGCCATTTTAAAAAAATTTATGGTTGCAGCCATTTCCAAAAAACCTTTATTCTAATGTCATTGTGTGCGTAATTATCATTCCAATTCAGTTGATTTGTCTTGAGAGTGGATGTTGACACTACTTGAAATGTTTCAACTGTTAAGCCTTTGCAAGCTGAAACCATTTGGGGGTTTTTGTTTAGATAATAGTGAAAGTGGCACAAAGGGGCTTTAATAAAAGTAAAGCTTGTTAAAATTTCTAGGAATTGTTTCCATGACCCAATTTTTACATCTCTTGTAGAATATTCGGCACGTCTTGATAGTGGTTTTTCCTGATATTTTATCCTTGTTCAGTTTTAGATACAATTTCTAGTTAACAAATACTTAACCTGTGAAAGTATTTGTACGAAACGATTTTTTGTGATTTAAGGTGAAGCATTTAGACCAAAACCTAGAAAGTATAGTAGAGTATGGTGCAAAACTGTGCAACCACTAAAAGCACAAATGCACTATGCCGGCTGTCTGGAACACCATGAAGAGACGTAAATTGCCCCGGGACGAATTTGTTCGTGATTTTCCAAAACTTATCCATTTGTCAATTCAGGGACTTTTTTTTAAGAACGAAACAGCAGAGCAAGTATAAACAATTACGTTAATGGAAATTACTTGCATTACACGCATGACCGCATACTGATATGATTAATGTTTCGACAAAGCTAGGACTAGCAATGTCAATAGGTTTTTCAAGAAATCTGTTTATGCAAAGAGCATTTTTCTGCATTAATTTGTGATGTGACAGCTGTTTAAGGTCACGTGTTTTGAAGTGTACCACACTTCCCTATCACGATCACCGGGATATTTCTGCGAAACTAATTCAAGAGTATAATTAAAGTTCGTTTAAAATGCCGTAAAATTTTGTACTGATAACTTAGTTTGAAAAAAGTAAGAATGGCTGTTATTTCTTGGCGAATAATCCGGCAGTTCGCCCAAATTGCTAAAACCACTGCAACATTTTATTTGCTAATTTTGCCTTAAAGTGGATAAATTACTTTGCAATGGTGCTTCTTTAATATTTTTTGGCTATAAATTATTGGTTCTAAACTTCTGTATTTTTAGCTAATTTTGTTCTTCTTTGCCGCGTTTAACGCGAAGAATTAAAAAATCAAGGTACTGATCCCATTCATGTACACGTTTTGACGTTTGGTTTTTCTTAAGAGAACGCCTTTGTCTATAATTTTCATGCTTTTTTTCGCAAATTTTTTACTAGTGCACTCAATTTTCAAGTGTCATTATATTTATTTTTGATGATGTTTTGTTATCGTTATAATCCTATATACTTTTATTCTCGTTACACCGTACTGTAACTCGGGTTCCTCAAAGCAGAATGCTGTATTTTTGAGTTATTTGTGCTTGTTTATGTCAATTATAGTTTTGTTTATTTGTTTTTGTTAGGGCTTCTAGTTCATTTAAAAGTAGCGCAAACCTACTTGTGATCACTCATTATGATGGTGTGTTTTAGTGCCTATTTCTCATTTCACAGTTCATTTCTATATCGACTTGGTCCCTCGCCTAGAACACTTTGCTAGATTTTCTTCATTTTTCAAACACTTGTTACAGTTTAACTTTGAAAAATAATCTTCTCTGAAACATCTAGTCATTTCATGCCTAAGTGAGTCGACACCTCAAAGTTTTTCGCAATTTAAAAAAAAGTCAACTTTTCTTATCTCGTTTTTGCGTTGTTATTGAGTGACGTTGAGTCGTAGTGTGTACTATTAACACAATGGGCAAATGAGAAGATACATCCGACATACATTTTTATGTTCAGTGATTGCAAAACACCCTTCTTCACTGTATTTTGTTACCCTGCTCAGGTATTTAATTGATGGAAACAAAAGATGTGAAGTGAACTGTTTTTTTTTGTTTTCTTAAATAACTACACTTATGTCCGTTGTGTTTATTTTCTGAAAAAATTATTTTGGTTTTGCACGTTTTTCTGTTATTTTTGTTGTACCTGATGTAACCGTTACATTCTGTTACTCAACTAAGCATGTTATTTTCTTGCATTATGTACTGCAGCTGAATTTAGAGTAGGTGGTTTTGGTGCCTAACTGGATTCGTTTTCTGACGCATCAAAGTCAAATGTGTTCTCAGGTTGTAGCAAGCTTCTAATCGTATAAGAGATTTCTCAATGTAAACTAGTCTTGTGGTGGTAAATTGCGGCTTTTTAATCTATGTTATGCCAACTTCCATGCAATTCTTAAGCGAATTTTCTTATTTTAATTATTTAATTTAAATTATTGCACCAAGACTTCACGCTCATAGCACCATCATCCGATTCCTTAAGACAAATTTAAGGAGAATCTTTTTTGAAAGGTCGTGGTAGTGAAATTCGAGTTAGAAAATGGTCTGCTCTACATAAAATCGATGGTCTACATTGGTTTGACACAAACATTGTGCTTTTTCTATTGCCACCCGATGTTTTTAATTTTGTAAAGAAACTTTTGGACGAAAGAAGTTCCCTCTTTTTTTGTATTTTAGTTTCGTTTCAATTGTAGCATTGTCGATTTCACTGAAATCAAATAGTGATTGCATGCATTGGTCTTTGACTTGATCTTAACTACGATAGAAACGTATTCTGCTGTAAGCCTTTTCCTCGTATATGCTCTGTTATAAGCATAAACAAACATGCAAATCTTGTTATATGCTTGTGTGCAACATTGAAATATGCGGCCTCGTTTTTAGACTGGAGGTGAGGGATGTTTCTTCGCAGCTTCATTAAACCGAAAAGCTCCCTTTGGACCTTCAGTCAGTTAAGGACCATTGGGGATGGCCTTTCCCAAATCCCTCAACCCAATATCTTTAACCCATCCGCTCTCCAGAGAGTGCCTAGGTCAAAAGGTGAGACTTATAAACTGGCGTTTGCGTTGCCATGGCCGACTTTGTTTTGTTTTAAACTGCCAAAATGCTCTTTTCCAGTTGAATTTCTTGCCAAGATGCTTTTCATGCCGTCACAGAGCCCGCCAGGCAGCCGACTGCTAAAGATAGCGGTGGTCGGTTTCCCCAATGTCGGCAAGTCGTCATTGGTTAACATGCTCACCAACTGGCGAGTTTGTGCTGTTTCCGGTAAAGCCCACACCACTCGCTCCAAACAGACTGTTGTCTTCATGAAGGATAACATCCAACTAGTGAGTGAACCTGTTGATCCTCTTTTCAACGGTCTAAACAATGCCACGCCCTTTGTTAAATTCCCAGTATCACTTAGGACCTGTGCCTACTTGAGTTCATATTTGTTCTAGTGCAACTCTCTATGCATCCGTAGTATAGCGAAGATTGCCATACAAGTTTCGGCACTAGTATCCTCTTTGGTACATCGATACACAGAGACCGTTCAGCTGAGGGGAAAGCAGGAATTAACGTCTGGAACGGTCGAACAGTGAATCCGGGGTAATGAATAAACACGGTGGCCACTTATGTATGACCGTCTTGCATCAATTGGATTTATTTGATGGCAGAGTGTCCATTTAGAAGGCTATTGCTGTCACGTCTTGCTCATATTTAGAGGCTATCAAAGCTGTGCTGCTTTCTTGAGCCTCCTTCTTTCGCTCTTTTGTCGAGTCAGACTAAATCAGTGTGTACTGTTTCATAAGTTGCACGAAAGACCGGCGTTCACGTGTCGTGTATCATTGCTTTTTCAGGTATTTGTCGACCTCCCGGGACTGGTATCAAAGAGACAAGTCCGACAGTAATTGTTTGCTCTACTCTGCTCTGCCTAACGCACACTTTGTAGGTTTAAATTGGAGCGCACGTTCATTCGAGACCCACACGCTACCATCTTTGATGCCAATTTGAGTAAGTTGTCGTGCCTATTGTAACGCCTGCGTGTAGTCCTTGTCGTCGTCGACGCCTCGAACAAGTACTCGAGGGAGGCACTTGACCCAGAAGTCCTCAAAACCCTCCACTTCTTCTCCACAAAGGAGTCTGTTCTCGTTTTGAACAAGGTGTGTTTCTTTGTAATCTAGCCTTTGTGATCACAGCATAGTCGCTTAAGAGCGTGAATCGATGTGTGTGTTTACACGGTTGTCGGTTAAACCGATAAAAGATTCGTCACACAAGAACGCAAAACGACGATTCATGCAGGGGAATCAGAGATAGACATCTGGATATGGAGGAGTTAAAAATCTGGTGACAGTCGTGATTAAAATAGATCCACCACTAGACAGCACCCGCTGTCATTTCTCCGGTAAAATACTGTGCAGAACATTCAAGTTTACTTTAATCCTTTTTAGCATTCACGAATGAAGCCTAAATTGCCGAACCTGCTCGGTGTTTATATTTAAAAAAGTTTACATTGATGGTGTGACGCAATAGCATTTGGTAACTCTACATTTTGACGAGATATGCGTCTACTCAAGCCTTACTTTCCTGACAAATCCGGCCCCTGTGCTGGCCAGAGGTGGCGGCATTCACTATAATCTAATTTACCAAAAAACACATTGTACCTACTTAAATCGCTTACGAGTATATAGTAGTATAATCGATTTGCAAAAGATCACGTAAGAACTGGTAATAAAACTACCAGGACTGTTAAATATATTTGGAAAGAAAAAGCTGAAACTTCTATCTAACCTTGATTCATTTTTTACTGAGGTGCTCGTGAACTGACAAAATCTTTGTTCGACCTGAGTATAACAATTATTTCTACTCACTGAAAAATCTTTGCACAGCGAAATTGGCGTTCGCTTATTTAACAAAATACTTTTGTGTAAAATGGCACAAACTTTAAAATAGAGGAATAAATGGAAATGCAGTTGTGTTGCAGTTGCCGGTATCCGGGCGAAAAACAATCTTGTCGGAATACTGACCTTCCAAGCCGATTTATCATCAAATGGAAATATTTGGGTTGGTTTTTGATTGACTGACCGAATTCTCGGTGCATCGTCAATCGACACTGCGTTTATGAACGAAGCTTCCGCTAGCTCTTGATTAACAACACAAGCACAGTGTCGAACAATCTGGAAAAAAAACTGTCCAGGATGTTTCAGTGTTGTGTGGGAAATACCCCGAATCCAAGGCAAAACAACCTCGGTGATGAATCATTTCTCAAAAGGCCAACCCATTCACTTCGTGGTTTCCAGGTGCACTTATCGTAAGACGCAAAAAAGTTTGTTTTTTTTTCGACAAAACTTTCACGTTAAGAAGCCATTTTGTTTTGGAAATAAAAACCTGCAAAACGACATTTAATTTCCCGGTAAAGCACGAGGTTTATCGGTTTGTGATTGAAACTTATTGCAGGACTAAAGTTCGTCTAAACTGCATCAGTGAAAAAGTGAAAATCAAGCTGGTTTCACCCCATTATGCACTGGGTATCTATTAATACTGTAGAGATTATTCTAGACGCATGAGAAAATGGACAAAACTTTTGCGAAAATGGATAATTCGCTTGCACAAAATGCAGCTAACCTCGGTAGAAGCAAGTCACCATGTTAAGGGAGTCTAAAAATGAGTACTTCGTGGGAATGAAATAAAAAGATATTTAATCGGATTAAGCTCTTGCTGTGAGAACAGATAACATGGGATTTAGTCGATTTCAAAGTGGTGAATTTAACTTAAACAATTGACTTCGCTCTGGGAAGATTTTCAGCTCTGTACAGGACTTTACGGGTCATTTAGTGATTAGTAGTCCACAGTTTACCACTAAGAAGATTTCTGAGAGACTAGATGCAGGCAACTTGACTTGATTTGACTATTTGAAGCAACTAGGATTTGCATACAAAGGCAATGTATAGACTTTACACGTCTTGACGTAACTTAACCAGTTAGTGTCAACAACTTTTGTTGGATCAAATAAACACTGCAGATGAGCATAGTTAGTGTGCAACAAATAATGAGAATAGGAAACTGTTAAAAGACGGCAAATGAGCCGAATTCGTGGGAAAAAAACACGAGATAGGCGACGACGGATACCCCAGCCATGTGTCTTCGTGTGCGACTGTCATTGACATCTTTGACCAATACAAAAGAGGGATGACTCATTGAAATCAATAATTCTGTAAGCAATCTTCCCACACAAGCGATCGTTGATATTCCACCACAAGCTCATCCAAAAAGTGGTGAATTATAGCCAAAACATCCTTATATGTTTAATCGAAAAGCCATTACCTTTCACGATGATAATAAACATATTGTAAATTATGTACTTCAAAAATGTAAAAAGTCAAAAATAGGAAATCATACTTCACCTGCCTCATTCCTCTCACCTTGGTCCTTCAAAATTTGCCTCAATTGAAGAGAAGCCACGCAGATTCTTTAAAAATGGAACTCAAGTAATTCGTGAAGCTTTGGGAAATAGCAATAACCGTCCTTAAGAACACATTGTTAATCAATAAATGCTATTTTTCAAATAAATTTGAGGCGTCGATTTTGGTTTCTAATCGCGAAAATAAATTTTGCCATCACCCAATGTTTGTTTGCACTTTTAACCTTACCGCGAGGAATGAAATTACACCAGGACAAGGGAGCAGGTCACAGAAAATACCAATAATAATCGATAATTCTGTGGTGAAAAGCTTATGCAAGGTTATTGATTTCCTCAGTAACTTCAAAACGCACGTTTGCTCTGATAATTCAGACGCAATTAACATGCTCATTACAAAACGCGGACTTGGAGTTTCTCTATCTTATACATAAAGTTAATTTTCCCCGATGCTTCATCAAGTTCAATCAACCAATCTTTGTGTCCGTGATTATGCATGTGCGAGCTTTCGAAATCCGAATAAACTTATAACCATCCATTAGGAAAATTCTGTATTTTAAGCTACCAGGCATTCATCGACGCAAGGCACTTCACGTCTGGCATGAATTTTTCACATGTTCATCGCAAAATGCGCGTACACAAGCACTTATAACATGACCTTCTTACCGGTTATGTAAGCAATCTTGCTTCCACATACTGTTTCAAGGCCCCATTAGAATTACTGCAGGATTCCGTGTGCACGCTTTGATAACAAAGAGCACTGCTAGGCCGACACCAGGTTTAACTGAAAATAATTTTCTTTTGCGTTCGTTATGTGCGAAAATGGTCTCGTACAAGGCACTCACTTTACCCAAGATTGCAGAACAGACGAGATCTATTTGAATGGAATGTCGAGAAATGTTTATCTTGCGAGGCAGACGAAAATAACAGCAAAATCTGCAGTCTTTTTGCCGTCATCTTTCTCCTTGCGATCTCGTAGACGGTGGGCTAGAAAACATTGACACGCTGCGTTGCCTTAACTTCACACTTTGTACCACTGAGTTTTGTGATTTTTCTATTGACATTTTGTTTGTTCATGTACTTACCCTCGAAGACAACACTACTGTACCATCAAAACATATCCCTGTTGCCCCAAAGTGGCCCGAGCATAAATTAACGGTGTTTTCAAACATAACGTCCATTTCGTGAGACGGTGATACCCTCCGTATTACTGTACATTGTTACGTTTTCTGATCAGTTCAGATGATATAGACATAGGCTTAGCTATTCCACTGTCTACTTGTGTTTTAATGGCCTAAATAGAAGACCATCAACCAATCAGAGACAAAGATGGAAGAGGTGGGCTCATATAGTGGAAGGCTCAGCCGCTTTTCAGCATTCCAAGTATTAACTTAACAATCAAAATTAGTTAAATATAATGTATTAGGTGTTTTACTGACCTAAGTACCATATCCAATATTTCAGTCATATCACGCTAAATGCTAACCCTTTCTTGAAAACAGTTGTGTACCTTTCAAGTCACGAGATTTTTCTTCGGAACTTTCAATTACGTTGCACTCGGACACCATCTTAACTTATTCTCATTTTAGTAAATTCTTGCTTTTACACCTTTCGATTTTTTGAAATGTTCTTAGATTGTATGAAATTCAGATGTACGAAAAAATAACTGCCGAAATTATCCATAAAAAAACATGTTTTCGAACAGCAAAAAGCCTATATTGTTTTGTCAATCCCTAACACACAGCTTTGAATCAGTAATATGCGATTTACGGGCTATTCTTCAATGAGATATTCTTCGAAATTCATCTAATGCCTCTTACAGAGACGAATAATATTTGGCACTGCCTATTCGAGGTGCTTACTTGAATCTTTCTCAAATCCTGCTGAAGTGTTAAATGAGTGGCTGTACTTCTCAGGCGGAAGGCACTACAGTGAGTGATATGAGCGGAAGCCTGCTGGAACAGTGTTACCTCATGGTGATTGTAATCCTGCTCTCATCTGTAAATTTCCTTAGTGAAAAAAATGCTGCGTCCGTCTGGTACAGTGGCCCTCCATGTTTCCGTGTTTTATGAGTGTCGGCACAGAATCGGCTTGTAAAGGCGCCTGTCCGCTGCTACAACAGCGGGCAGCGAACAAATAACTAGCGCCATTTAAAAATACACTGGCCCATAGTGCGATGATTCACCTTTTGTTGTTCGCCGATGACTTAACAACGATGACCTGTAACGTGGAGGTGTGGATTTGCGATGCGTCATTAGCTGGGCTACCAACTGAAATGCCACATTAGGCAGCAAGGTTCTGCAACACCTTTGCACCTTTTTTTCGAAACCTGTTGGGGATCCACGATTCCCCAAGATTGGTTTCTATTTCCATTTACATTAATTTATTAACATTTGTTTTGCTACGCTTTTATCAAGCCAAGGTCAACCTTGACTTGAATTAGTTTCGTTTCACTTTCGATTTCACTTCTTCTCTGCACGTGGCTGGGGTGAATAAAGCTCTCTACTCGAGCTCTGGTCTTGTTCTGTCATTAGCCTGGCATAGTCGGTTCTAGCTTTCAGCGAGGGATCTGGTACCGTTATTTGAGTGGTATTCTCTATTGTTACGGGCAAACGTAACAAAACCTCACCTAGATTTTTGGCACTTTTGCTGCGTGGCCATACTCTCAGGAAATTTTTAATGTTCCTGTCACTTTTACCGTAATCGTGAATTTGGAAACTTGGCCAAGTATCCAAACTGCTTGTAAACAATAATTGTCTGTGAAAAGTAAGGATTAATAATGGCAATCTGGAAAGGTTAACAGTGTAAACGTGCTGTTTTAAACAACAAATATTATTAATCAGCAAACGTGTTAAAAAATATGCTAAGGACAGAGCCTGACACTTTGGAATTGTGTGATTTCGGCTGATCCGATTAGCAAATTGTAAGAGGCGCCTACTGGGGGCAAGGATTTAAACAACAGTCAAATAAAAACCAACATGGTATCAAAATTGACTTAAAATTGCTCTGGTTTTTCCTTGAGAATTTTCGCTGAACCAATTTTTCACAGGGGCCAATAGAAATCCGTTTCGTTGTTTAAAACGCTGCATAGCATGTATTTTGCTACACTTATTCTTCCTCTGAAAATGACTGTACTATCTTCTACCAACCTACGGCCGTGGTAACTTCTGGCTGTGACCATTTTTCTAAAAGCTGCTTCCTGGAACTCACATCCCCATGTGGTCGACTTTTTGTACTAGCTGACTAGTCACGGGTGATTGATGACATCGTTTGACGAGCCTTGTTAGTAGGACTTCTCCAGTTTGACAATGTCTGTGTTGACAAATGTGTTTGACATGACACAAGGCATGTCAAAATTCCTTATTTGACTGACTCTTTACATTTCTTGATTCTAAAGCGACAGTTTACTAGGCTTCTTCATCTGTTCTGAACCTTTCCACGGTCGAGCCTTGGCAGCGGGACCCAGTTAAGACAATTTTACAATACAACCGATCGATTTAGCAAAATGATCATTGGTAATTTCTGGTTTGGCATTGTGATCGCTGCCAATGAAATGATGGCATCCTTCGCAGCCATAAATAACACGAATGCACGATGGACTTCAGATTGCGTTGACAGAGCTCCAGTTTCTGAACTACCAACAACCTTTTGATGCAGCCAAAAAAGTTGTACACTTGTCTGTGTGGTGACCAGTCCCACAGAGAGGAAAGCGAGGCAAAAGTGAACGATCACGTTGGCTCAAATCACAAGTTTTCTATGCACACAATATTAGTTGAGGTCTTGCCTTCCAGTGCCCAGTGTTAGCACCTAAATTCATCATTCAAGGAACCGGTCATCTCAGCACGATCTTCTACAAATTTTGATAAATCATTAAAGCAGCCAGCTAACATGGCAAACGCTGCACTGATATATAAAATACTACAAGTAAGAAGATTGACTTTCGTAATGCTAAAATGAAAAGCAACATTCTTCTAACTAACAGGCCATATCTTCTTGGTCATATTATCGAAATTCGTGCCTAAATTAAATTCGCGCTGGTAGAGTAGGACAGAACCGATTTTGAATGGCTTTTGGACGGTTGCACTTGGAACTGTACCGGTTCAAATGCAAATTGTCTCTTTTGCTCTTGGGTAGCATATTAATGTTGGGTGAATATTCAGTTCTGAAGGTGGCCTTTAGGACAAAATCGGGTTGACATCTTGTGGATTTTTCTTTAGTAACACTAGTGGCTGGCATACAAGAGGTAAGGTCCTGTTAACGGTTTATCACTAACATTCCTTCTCGACACACAAACATACAAATTAGCAAAATGGTTCGGCAGGCGTACGGGCTACCCATCACATTGCCATTGCTGGGTGGCACGTGCGCACGAGCGCACGCTCATGTAAATGCACCATTGCACGCACCCGATTGGACTGTCGTCTTCGCCCACTGTAATGAAATCAATTTCCCTGTCCCCATACGTAATCCTAGAAACGGGCTACAACGTGCATGCACACACCTACTGCGTCGTTCGCGATCCCACGTGCACCAACTGCAGTTGCTAGGAGTGGTCGTCCTTGCACTTTCATCGCCTAAACTCAAACCTGGGCTCATTTTTTTGTCTCAACCAATCCCATTTGTCTTTCTTTCCACTTTCCCATCACACAGCAAGGACAGATTTAGAGGTAAAGAGTGGGCACTGAGGAAGAAAGCACACTAACCACACGCCTTGTCACACATGGATTTCTATTGTACATCTTAAAAAAATAATGGCAACTGCAGAAGGAGGGAGATTCGATTTTGACGACGGTGGCAGCTACGTGGGTGAGTGGTGTGAGAACCGAGCCCATGGCTATGGCATCGCGACCGGGCCGGACAACCAGGGGGAGTACTCGGGGGAGTGGAACATGGGTTTCGAATCTCGGGGGGTCTATGTGTGGCCTTCCGGCAATCTCTACGCCGGCGGATGGCTTAAGGGCAAGAGACACGGCGAGGGAGTCCAGATCAAAGGCCGTTGGATTTACCGCGGTGCCTTCACATCGGGATTCTATGGACGCTACGGAGTCAAGGAATCTTTGACCACATGTGCGCGATACGAAGGCAGTTGGCATTTGAACCAGTTTGACGGGTTCGGCGTGGAGACGAATTCAGACGGAAGTAAGTTGTGCATGAATATGCATGTACTGTCGTACTTTAAACCCGAAGGTACCTGTAAAATCAGTATATTTTGTTGTATGAATCAAAAAACAGGTTATTATTTACGACCTGGACGGATTGAATTTCAGTAATAATGTGACGGTCGTCACCACGCCTCTGTACCAGCCTTCTCATCCAGCCAAAAATCACGTCAAGGAAGAGCATCGCTCTACCAAGTGGGCGACTTCACAATTTCCTCTGGAATCGTATTCCCAGGTTTCAGCTTTGTAAAGAATCGTCCAACATTTTCTAGACGGACAGATTGTTATGCCCAGAAGAACCGCTGTCCTGCTTATCAATCAGTTTTATGAACAGGTATCGGTGACCAGTGTGTGGCACATCCAGATTTCGACCCGATTGAAAGGGTTTGAAAGCCAACATTCAGCGATAGAACGCAGAGCGTTGATCTCTAACTTCTCCATGTTGAGGCGACCTACCAAGTTTTTGTAATGTGCCGCTTAACTTGACAAGTGGCGTACCAATGAGGATGTGCACAGCTAGAGCGTACATCGCCATGACAACTTTAAGCACTAATTGATTTTAGGTTGTCGGCGCAATTAAGAACCATAACTTTTGACAAACCGCAATATTCACTGTCTACGCAAATTCTGGGTACTCGTAATTATGCCATTAGATACTCATAGTTGAGAGAATGATTCAATAAATCCGCTTTTTGTCTTATGCATATTTTAAATCTGTTGCATTCGGTGTCAAAACAGGACTCTTACTTGCAGTTATATGTCATTTCGTTGATGAGAAATGCTTCTTACTCAATCACCAGATCCCGCCTAGATGCTGCAATGTACGAACGAAAAATTGCGGTTTGTAATTACTCATGGCATCTTCCTGATGTCTCATTAAATCTTCACCGACAGAAATATTTACCCACAGATATTTCGGTGTCATAAAATTATGTGTTATCAAATGTCACAGTTGTTTAAACCAGGCAAATTTCTAACAAGGTCCTTTAGATACGGGAAAAAGATTTTACTAATACTAACGTCCCTAATAAACCGAATTACTAGAATAGTGCAACACGGAAGCAACAAGTGTGATTTTAATCGTACTTAGATCAACTTGCTTTGTTTTCGAAATTTCCATAACCAGAGGCGAATTTTCATGCGAACCTGGTACCTGCCGTAGTTTAAAAAAATTAGCATTTACGTGAACGTAATTTTGATATTTTACAACCATAAATTCAAATGTTTTTATCGCTTACTCTTTGTACCTACAACATAAAAACCAAAAAGCAAAAACCACTGTTTATCGTTTGAACTAAATTTAATTCATTTGGCCGAAGTTCTGTTTTCTTAAAAGCATTTACTGGCAAAAAATGAAATTACTTCGACCAAATTTATTGTGAAACCTATAAATTTTGCATTTTTAACACGACGTCTTGCAATGATTGAGAGGACGGTATGCGAATATTAGCGTCTAGTATTAAAAACAAGTGATAATTGCAACTCGAAAATAACCAATGTAAATTCAAACTCACTTAAATCAAATTGCTTTGCTTTTAAAATTTCAACAACTCGATGTGGGTATGCATTAGAACCTAGGAAATCTGACTGATTATATCGCCAATGTTATTTTATTACCTTTCTCTTTTTATTTTGACTTTACACTTAATGATAACAACTTTTAAGCGTATACATGAAAACTGAGAATGAGTCGGGAGGATGACGGACTACCTATGGATCCATTCAGTGTGAACAAACGACAATTTCTACACGAAGGAATATTTGTTATATGTGACACGTTCGTGTTTAAATGCTCTACTAGATGCCATATAACAAGTCAAACTGAAGCAAGGAAAAATCACAACGCCACTCTGACTGGAATAGAATGAAGTTATGTGGCTATCAAAAAAATTAATTTGCTTCAAATTTGACACCGTATAGTTTTATGATCATTTTTTGATCTGCATATTTATCGTTTTCTGAGAAAGTACTCATGGAAATGTGATTCTACAAATCCTGACCTCAGAAAAAGAGATACCAAAAAACCGGCCTGTTCAAAATGCCATTTGAGGAGTAATATAGAAATAAAAACATGATACCAAAGAAAAGTAAGCGTTCGCTAGTGAATTTTGGCTCCAGTTGCCCTGCATCGTGCACCAAAATTGTCTGTCTTCTTTATCCAAATCGGTGGTCAAGTTTACCGAACACCTACTGAATCACTCTTAGCACCACTGTTCAGTCAATGAAGAGGGCATTTAGACAAGGAGGACGTAACAAAATCAAAAGCTTTTTTTTACCATTTATAAACATTTGTAGTTTACCTTCTACTTGTGAAGGCAAATACTGTTGCGCCTGTAGAGAGCACAGCCAATATTTACTAAAAGGAAACCATAGTGTGATCAGCTGAATCATTTTCATTGATTCAATCAGTGAAACAAATAATGGTTTAGCATTGTCAAGTTACGAATTCGCTTGACTTGTGTTAATAAAAACACTTGCGCAGGTACTAGCAATCACTTGTACCTTTGACCCAAGTAGGGGCTTAATTAACACGACCTAAATGAAATCAAGTAGTGCACTGGTACGTCATGTAGTCCTTTTACAAACTTATTAAACAAAATGGCAAGAAAAAGTAGGGACTATTTTGTTCAACCGGCCGAGCAACCAATGGGCAAAAAATCCCGTAGGTGCTGAGAAAATTCAGAGTGGTAATACAGCCAGTTTAAATATTGATCATGTAAAGAGGAATAAGTTTTTTTTTAAAAAAAAGCTAATCAATACAAGTTATTAAAAATTGGCATGAAACATTCTGCTGTTTATTAAATTCTGACTGCAGATATCGAAATAAACTGTTGTTTGGCTGAGAATAGATGGCATAAATGGCATTTTTCCATGTTTGCGTAACACTTTCCTCCTTAAATCGTTTTGCTTCATTGAAATAACCTTCATAGGTTAAGAACTAAGTCTGCATTTCGCCCCAGCCAAGCCTCTCAGACTTGGTGAGATAACATCTATTGAGGTCATCTAACATACATCAGAGAAGTTCCAACGAGACGATGCAGGATCAATCTGTGTCCATGTAACAATTGAAAAAGAATCAAAAGAAGTCCTTTCCGAAATTGTGTTGCCCCTTTCTTTATCACATTGAAATTGAAATCATAGTCTGAACATAATTGTTAAAGTGCCCTTTGTGCCACTATTACAAATTTCAGCACTGCTTCTGTTTGATGCAGGATCCATATATTCTAGGCCGTCTTAATAATGTTAATGCAACTTCTACGGATCTCATTGCCAATGATGAATTGCTCTAAGAAATCATGTCATTTAGATTTCATTGCGCTTTTGTTAGAGAGGTAAGTTAACTCCATGACAGCGATGCATGCATTTACTTTCAACTGTAACTTGGTACTCATTTCACGAAACAAGTTGCTTAACATGTTTCTTTATAGAAATCAAAATTATTGTGAATTTCTAAACCAGTTCGTGTTTCCGCTAAAGTGATTAAATATTGATTATTGGAGGGAAAAAGAGGGTTAGTCAGGGGGTAGCTCTGCGACTACGACATTAACCCAGATCCGGGACGGCATCTGGAACTGAATCATTAGAAACTGACCAAACACGAGCACTGGGCACCTACAAATTAACAAGCGGACTTCGGTGGGAATTTTTGGCACGAATCAGTTACAGCAATAGTGTTAGGCATAGAAGTATTCACGCAAGCCTAAGATGCACTGGTGTAGGCCGTCCATTAGCTGTATCTGTGTAAAAACAATTACCATGGTGGGTATCTGAAATTTTAAGAATGTACAAATCGAAAAACGTGCGTGATTTACTAAAAGCGCCTTACATTGATATCAAAACACATTACGGAGGATTATTGGCGAATTGCGACCTAAAAAGTGTAATAGATTTCTTTAAACCTTCATCCCTAATCATTATTCTGATTGGTTAAACGATGTTTTAAGGGCATTAACGCCTGTCTTCATTGGTTTGATTGAAACTGGCGGTTGTCAGTTGAATGACATATTGGTGATTTCTGGCCCTCCTTCGAGTGCTGCTGGCTGGCAACGCAATGGTAGAAACTAAAAAAGGGTAGCGAAAAACACATTTAAACATCATTAAAATTTAAAAAAATAGCTTTTGAGTTGACAAAAAACTCAATTTGGTCATGTCTTGAGGTATTTTACCAAACCTACGGCAGCAAAATTTGTGCTTTTTCAGGTGCATAGGATGCCACGTTCCCCGTTGATTTTTATCCTAATGAGTGCGCGTCGCCTCCCTAATCAAGCTGACTCTTAATAATTAGAAAATGCGTCCACCACACGTTTGTAAATCATGCCGACTAACTAGTTTGCTGAAATTAAAAATCGAGATTTCAGCAAAGTGAGAAATGTTTCAGAAACCGAAGAATACATATCCACAACGAGCTACAAATGCTATAAGAAAATTTCCATTGTCAAATCATTTCAAGACTTCGATCGTCAAGATGGCGTTTGAAGGGGTCTGTCAACATTTTTGCTCCCAGCCGAGATAAGACGTTAAAAATCATTTCTTCTGAACAAAATATTTGTTATTTAATATTAATGTTTCAAACCGGTGCAAAAGCAATTTCCATGTGTGCGATTTTATTAAAACGAAAGATCAAAACTTGGCTGTGTCACCAATAGGTTATTTTGGTTTTTTCTATTTCCTGTGTACACGTATACAAGAATTTCTCATTTTACTTGGCAAAAAACGATTTTTAGTGGTACACTTTGTGTGACCAAGTGTTTTCATGTTTACACAAACTTTTTTAGCAAAACTAATTGCTATGGTGACTAGACAGAATCCCGACTGCGTACAGAGCAAAAGGAAATCCAATTAAACTGACTTTTTTTCCTCATAAATTAAAGAAAAAATCATTTTTATTGGATAGAATAGCATAACCTTCAACTGTTCAGTTTAATTACTGTCCATCAATACAGGACACTTCGAATGGCACAGTTTACGTACTATATAATCCACGGTGTAATGTCACTACCGCAAACGAAACTCAGGCGATCCTAATAACTGGGAAGTTAGGAATGGTCATAAGGAATTATTCAGGGCCTTCATAATTGATTTCATAGCCACTGTTGCTATTGTTTTAAAATTGGCGGCATTTAGAATTAGAAAATTCAAAAACACTGGTGGGAGTTACAAACAAATGAATGGCTGGTCTTGCTTCCAGGAAGGCATCAACAATTTCTAAATTTGACCATCTTATTGACATCAATTTTGGTCAAATCTGAGCCATAATTTAAAAAAAAACGTTTTTTATAGTCCTAATCCCAAGGTGTACGTTGTGGAGTTGTGCAAAAGCATTGTGTGTAAATAAAGCAATGATTTCAAACAAATGGAAGCCAAATGCACAATTTGGCAAAAGCTAAATTGTATTCTAGTCAATGCTATAAATTGATGATTGTGCTGTCCACGAACATTCACTTATCTTTCACATGAATCATCATATTTTCCAACACACCGAGATTACTACTTCCTACAAAGTGGTAACTGATTCAAAAACGCAGTTTTTTGTGTTGAAGATTTAAGCAATTGTCAATAATCGCGAAAACTGCTAAAAGTCACTTTTTGTCAATTAAGCGCCAAGATTTTGTGCAAATCCTGTTTAACAAACCAAGAAAACTGAACAGGCAAAATACTAATTGATTTATAGCAATAGGCAAAGGTTTTTCCTTTCATGTTAAAAAGATACCAAATAAAGAAACAGCAAATATTGACCAGTTAAGCGGACTGAACTGGTTAGACACTAAGTAAGTGTTACCAAGTGCAACGTGAGTTCAAATTTCAAGCTAAAATTGGCCTCCGTATCTGAGATTGTCTTTCGTAAGTGGTGCCATCGTGGCAACGGGATTACATTGTTGTTGATGCAGCTGTCGACTTACCTACAAACCAATCGATCTGGCCGCAGGCATTTGTGCAGACGCGTGTGCGGTAACACGGTGGTGCACCTATGCGCGTACATTTGGCATACTTGTTAACATCCCACATAACTTCCCAAGGCAACGCTGTACGTGCCTACGTGCGTGGAGGCGCACACACGCACACCGCATTTATTGATCAGCTTTGTAGTGTGAGAGAGCTCTGATCCGTGATTGCTGGGCAATGCTCGTTATCCAATCAGAGTGATCGTCCGAATTTAGGGATCACAAATGCATGCTCCTTTTGTTAAGCCTACTTTGGGTACTTCAGTTGTGAAGTAAACCACTGACTTCCTGCCAATTCTTTTATTATTCAAACCAAATCAGTGATTAGCATTTCAAGCGGTCACTGCGGGAGTCTGATACTTCTTGTTATAGTGAAATTCTAGTTTTCTAAATCCCATCGGCTGTGACGAGAATTAGACCATGGCTCTTGTTGCAACCTTGTTGACTTCAAACATTCATTTTTCTATTTTGCCAATATTTTCTGAGAAAATTGTGGTAGTAAAAGTCACTGTTATTCCCCAGAACACGTAATACATCAGCGCGTTTAAACAAGAACCCTAAAAGTAAGACTTTGACGTTCGTTTTCAAACTGCTTTCACGGTTAGATGCTTATGAGAATGTTAATAAAACTTCAGTATACACGTTAGGTGACCATTAAGTTGTTGAGACGCCATATACCACAACGTACCCAACAAGGATAAAGTCTGTGGCAGGACAGAGAGTCAACCGTTTATTCGAGAGCTTGACGAAGCCGTGGTGGTGTGTGGGGTTTGCTCGTGTATATTTACAGCTCGGATGTGTCATAACTGCACTAACATCGAGACCTAGGCGTGTGGATAATCCAAGATAAATATGAATGAAGGGGGAGTTGAGGATTCGCGCGGCCGGCGCCATGTTGCGAAAAAGGGGAACTCTGTGTCGAAGGCGGAGCAATCGGATTAAGGGGTTGAATAGACACGATTCACAACAAACACACAGCCAGCATTAGGAAAATCAATGTCCTCATTATCACCATAGAGACGTTAGAGCAAATTGATTGGTCGAGTAAGTCTTTGATGATTACTGCATTGCAATGAGATTCCGCTATTCGATTCCTCGATGTTCTAACACCTGATTCGTGAGGTACGCTTCCATTCTGGTGGTGCCTCACGACATCCAGTGCAACTGCTTGCAAAAAAAAAATAAAACGGCAGATGGAAGAGCGTGGGGACCATTAAACGAAATGTCAATGCTCGCCTGTTTGCACACGCATGTCTGTTTTGTGCCTAACTTTTTTGTACAAGCTGCTTCCCGGAAGATTAATGCCATGCACCAATGCGGCCCAAATACCAGTACAGTAAAACACATTCCATTGGTCTGGCCACGTTTACTGTAAGGAAACTATGTTCCATCCATCGTTCGCTTGCTCTGTCAATATTTATCTTATGTGTCTTTTATTACTTTTTTTGCCTGTCCTTTATTGTTCATTCACAGGGAAGATAAATTCGACCAAGTCGGGCTTTTAGGTTTGCTAAGAGAGTTTGTTTCTTTGTTTTGACCACAAAATACGATGAATCCAAAATTTTCAAGGCACCGTAGAGTTCTGTGTGCAATTGCTAAGGGTGTTTGTTTATTTACGTAGGTATTTATGCCGGTGCTTGGTCGAAAGGCATGCGACAAGGGCTGGGTGTCCGCAAATCTGCGCCGTGGGGACTCGCATCGGAACACCACAGCACCGTGCGAGCAGCCCAGTCTCAGAGCAGCCTTCCATCGACACAGGACTCGGATAGAGGTGGGTGGCGAGGACCAGGGAGTTCGGGTGGGTCCGCCGGTTCAGCCGACCACCTCCATGGAGGCCGTTTCGAGACGTTCAGGTCGGGTTTCGTCCTGAAGGCTACGTCACACGCTCCAGGCACTACACCCCCTCCCTCGCGCTCTCAATCTGCTACCCCCTTCCGCGCCTCCTCCACTGAGAAACGCAACTCCCTCAAACGCTTCCTCCTCCGCAAACTGCGCAAGCCAAAGTCCACCGGTGATTTGACCAGCGTAGGACCACACACCTTAGGCGGGATGGGATCTGCTGGTTCTGGACGGTTCGGAAGCCTCCACGCTCCACGCGCCGGTGGCTCCCTTCGTTCGAATATCAGCGGAGTTACTGGAAACTCAGTTTTTGCCGAACATCACAGTCGCATTGACACCGTCGGAGATCTGGTTGGCGACAGCTTGGATGAGCCCCTGGGACCGAATGTCACGGAAACCTATAGTGGTCAGTGGAACGAGGACCGGAGGTCGGGCTACGGTGTGGCTGAGAGGTCTGATGGACTGCGATACGAAGGCGAGTGGTTCAACAACAAAAAAGACGGATACGGAGTCACCTACCACCCTGACGGGAGTCGGGAGGAGGGACGCTACAAGGAGAACCTGCTTGTGCAAACACTAGTGAAACGAACCAAATTCTACCTTCTCAGACATTCAAAACTAAAGGAGAATGTAGCGGAGGCCATTAGGAAAGCTCGAGAGGCGGCCAAGGAAGCTCAGGAAAAATCAGCCGAAACAGCACACCAAAGGCACATTAGATCATCTCGTTTAAATCATATCATAAGTTTCCTTCTTGTGGACATTAACTAGAAAAATGTTTACCACAAAAGGTCTTGACTCGCGCTTTCTAAACTTTAGGGTCTTGTTAGCTTGCACCTAAAACCGTCTGATTTAAAAAAAACCGTTAAATTTACCTTCGGGCCTGAGATAGTGTACGCTTACGTATTTGTACCACTAAGTCCCTTGAATTTTTGTCTTCACCCAACGTCGTGTTGCTGATTGACCTAATCAGGTCACGTGGAATTCGGCCGAATGTTTGATACTGCAGCTTTGATCTTGTGACCCGAGCCAGTTGAATAGGGACTGAATTTATGTCAAACGAACTGTCCCCAATAACAAAATTGGTCCCAAACTTGTTGCAAATTGACTCTGCTCAGGGATTCCGCGTCAGCTACTAAAATTGTCTTCTGCGCACTTGTGATGCCGTTCGGGCTCCGTTTGATGTCAGCGATTTACACCAGTTTTGTTTTTGTAATTAAAACTTTGACAAATGGTACTTTTTGTTCAGTTAAGAACAGATTGCAAGTACTTTTGCTTGACTCAATTTGTGTAAGGTCACTTTTACATGGAGTGCAAATGCGGAAATGCTAGGCCGTGTGATGCCGACAATTTAAGTGCGCTTGTAAATTGTCTCCTGTCGTCAGTTGGGTAATAATAAGACCCAGAGGCAGCCGCTTGATGGCTGGGCCTCGAAATGAATTCGCCCATGTTTAGACACAGCGGTGGGGGTAAACTTGCACACCCAGTAATGAATATTTTAACTCATCAGTTTGAAGGCCTCATAATAAAACCTGATCGTGTTCTTTTTTCCATTTCAAGAGCTCAAACAGCACGCAGTGTTGCCAAAACTGCAGAATCTCGAGCCGAGGAAGCCAAAAATATCTCGGATCAGGCACGTGCCATCGCCACCGAATTCGCCTCGGATTTCATTCAGATGGGTAGGCCATGCCATCAGTCCCGTTTGCCTTTTGTGGGAGATCGATTTTTACGCTGCAAGTCACAAATCGGTCTTTTCCCCTTCCAGGTCTGATATTAAAATTGTGTAGGGTGAAACTTAAGTGCTCGTTACAAGGACTTGGTTTATTTGGAACCCCAAATTCCCCCATCTGTTGAGGTAGTTTTATTAAGCTACCTTTCAAGGCAACATTTAAAGTGCATGAATGGGCCACTCTTCTCTAGACGTGCTCACTAATTAAGTGTTTAAATCACAAGAATAGTTAAACGCCTCTTTCAAACTTGAATAAACCTGAGGTGGGGTTTATTCAAGAAATTCTTACGGCGTCTAATTTTTGAATTTTTTAAGCAAATGAAGCCAAGGATGGTGCAGCACGAAGTGAAATCCACTCCGTTTTGCACCCAACACTGCTTTGAGATGGTGTAGTCAGGATTAACTTAAGCAAAGTGCACGATTACAAGTTCTATCAGCGAATTCTAAAAAAACGGCTAATTTAAGCTGCAGGATGACTAATCCCAGAAAGATATCCAAGCTCTGGAGAGAAAGTCTTACCTTTAAATCATAAGGAAAGGTCTATCGTGGGATTTGACGAACCCTTCATCCCTTCGGAGACACCGAATGTTGTGGGTCTTGAACCACGCCGGGGCCACTGAATTAACACTGGTCCGATTACGCTTCCCTGATTCCCGCGATGAAGAGAAGTATAGGAGAGGACGTGGACACAACCGCTTACTTCAGAGATCAACCTCGTTGGTGTCGTGTGTGGGGTTTGCGCGTGCATATTTATACCTCGGATGTGTGAGTCATACATGCGCTAGCATCAAGATCTAGGTGTATGGATGATCCAAGATAAATATTCGTGCGGCTGAGGGGGGAGTTGAGGATCCGCGCGGCTGACGACATGCTGCGACAAAGGGAACCCTGTGTCGGAGGTGGAGCGACCGGACTAAGGGGTGTGCATGAACACGATTCACAACAGATCGATTAAAAAATTGGAAGGAGTGCATGCAGATTTGGGGCCTGCGATTTTTCGCCACAAGCCATCTTCATTTTTCGGTAAAAATTTATGCAAAAGTTTAATCGATCCGAGAAACAATGATCAATCGCATGTAATTGGTTGCTAGAAGCGAACCATTTGTGGTTGTGGGAACCAATAAAAAAAGTTACAATCAGAGTAACAAGTTCAAATTCGTCTACTTATATGGAATTCGGATAGGCCTTTCGTTCAAGAAACGACAAGCAAATTTGACCAATAGAATTAAGCAATTACGTTAAAACAAAGCTTGTGGACGTCTGAGTCCCCCAAAGTTACCTCATCTCGTCTTTGCCTTAAGGACAACCAAATGATGGATTTTGGTTAGTTCTACATAAGTTGATTTGTTTAAAAAATACTATGAGTGCTATATCATCATCATTGGCTGAGTCCAACTGAAGCAATGACTAATCATAAATGGTACACGTTATACATGGAGGCATAATTCGGTTTGAAAGACATCTTTAAATGAAGTGAACTGAGGGCTATTTGTCGTTAGCTGTAATAGGCAATGAGGTATTTCGTGTCAGGTGATCGCAACTTGACGCTTGTCGTTTATCCACACGTAAACTTCGTGATCTTGACGTTCCTTTTTAACAGGTGTCCAATGGGAGCGTAATAACCCCTTCGCGCACATGATCACTCGCGACGGCACCCCTTCGGCTACGGCTCAGGTCAACGCAAACGGGCGGAAGGTGAAGCCAGCTAACACCAAAAACCTATTCGTCAACAGCCTCGAAGTGAGCGGTGGCAACCGGCGTGGCAGTTTTCGCTCCAGTTTCAAACGCAGCACCAGTGGCACCCTCAACGAGAGCAACCTGGACGGACCCAAGGCCACTGCTGAGGTCAAACCCCATCAAGAACAGGTAAGGGCTCTTCCGAACTACTTCAGTTCTCGCTACCGCCGTCAAGTAGCTACGGAGACTAGTGGAGCTGTTCGTGCTGTAGAATACCTGGTTGATTGTGTAATGGTAAATCTAAGCAAAAAGACGTTTTCACAATTTAGGGTAACACCGGCTAATGTTTTTCTCACCCCAATCCCATTCCCGATGTCATTCGATATAAGCAGCTTTTCGCACCGTGGGACACCCAGTAATTAATGTTGGCAGCAGGTGTGGCATATTCGGAATGCACATGCAGCCACTAGACCGCGTGCGGAGTGGAATCTTACACAAAGTTTGCAACATTTCGGCACAATTGGTGAGGTTTACATGCATTTTATTGCCAGTATTCTTTCCCTCTTGTTAAATAGGGCTTTTTTAGATGGACGTGGACGTTTAACAGTTGGTATGGCTCAATATTCATTGATATAATCCAAAAGGCCAAGTGAAATTGACATTCTGACCTCTAACTGTGAATGCCAAGTAGTAGATGGAATAATTTTAAGTTCTTTAAGAAAAATACAGGATAATTTCTAGAAAAAAATCCTAAGTTCACTCTTCTCCTTGCTAATACACGACTGCTTAGCCAACTGTTATCTCAATTTGAGACGGTGTATTAGTTATTTGAATGCATGTCGAACCGTATTCGGGTAACCAGAACACTGCTAACGGCAGAACTTGTATTGTTTGTGATACAACACGAGAATGCTCTCTTGTTGCACAATTGATGGTTGCGTATTTTGTCTTGAGACGCAACCGGCGCCCACAACAGCGCGGTCACCGCAATTCGCGACGGTGCAGAGCGTGGAGGAGACGAATTTTGAGAGCCTCAGCGGCCCAGTGGCAACGGCCCCCCCGAAAACCAAAAAATCACCAGTTCTGCACACAGCACAGGTTGTGCTTCCCACCGACTCACAGGTGAGGGCCTGATGATTTGCATGACTGGGTGAATTGTGTTGAGTTTTTACCCCGTACGTTGATGCAAATCCCTTGCTTAGCACGTCGAAGGCTTCCAGAATAAGAGAAGGCTAGAGCCTGTGTAGAGGACTGTACTGTCCAAACCAAAGGTTCGAGACACAAGCCGAGGTCTAGTGGATGCTCAGATGTGCCTACTTTTAGGTGCCTGAGCGTTCTGAGATCGACGAGTTGAGTAATCACCAATGAACGATGAGTTAATATATTGTCAACTTGGGGATTATACTCATGCAAACGCCAAAACCTATGATTTTAGGTAATAGACGCATTCCTGTTCTCCTTTCAAGGGTAAATAGTTGAAAGTAGGCAAATATGTCCGCGGAAGCTCCTAATTGTTCACAACACAGTAGCACCGGTAACTTTGACTTCCTGAGATTTTTAGTTCGCAATAACACTTTTACTAAACTATCGTTGAGAAGTCAAGTGAAACAGGAGTACATATTCTTAAAAAGAAAGAGAAACACCGGTTATTAGTTAATTATGAACGAGGTAAAGATGTCCAATTTGGAGGGAAGTAGGTACAAGGAGTGTGGGTGACAACGCGTTAGAATTCGCTCCAATCCCATCACAGACACACGTGGCTACACTGGAATTTGTCAACGCTGCCACTACAAACACGTCACCGGAATCGCGGGTAGCCCACGGTCGACCAATGGCACGCGCAGCCACATCTGGCTGCACCGGACCCCCGCCTCTCTCCGCGTTCGATTTCATGGCAACGGGTCAGACCCAGGGGGTGGCGGAGGAGCGCAAGATGGTTCGCCGCAGGACCCTACCCTCGATCCTCACCACACCACCCTCCCTAGCTGGAACTCCCCAGAACAGCAGCAAAACGGGCACACTGCAGTCGCCGGCGGCTGCCCTAGGTAATCCCGCTGGCGAGAAGCGCTTCGGAATGCCTGGACTCTCCTCAGACCTCGATGATGTCCATCATAGCTCGGAGAACCTCGTCGAGACATACATTATTGAAGACGGGGTGAAGAAGCGGGTACAGCCAACCAGGGCCCCGGATGTCGGTGGGTTGCTCTCTGCGGCGAATTCACCTGGCGCCGCTGGAACGCTCAGACGTGGAAAAGGCATTTCGTAAGGCGCTTTTCCAACTAGACCTCAATGCTTGCCCATTTGTACCAAGTAGTGCTTCTGCAGAAAGTTAAAGTTCAGCCTGTAGTAACCCACAGCTTCCGAAGGATAACCACGCACTTGATCGGATACTTTAGTGGTTTGTGACAGTGAATGATGTTCTTTAATAGCGGTTAGGAAGTTGGCTTTAGTGTGGAGTTCAAAGGAGCTTGTCGTATTTGGTACCGAGAGATAGGGCCTTATATTATACACGCACACAAGCAAGCTACAACTTAAACAAGATTCGAGTTGACTGGCGAACGTGCCACTACGACGAACCTCAAAGTGCATATTTTGCCTAGCCTGGAGCTACGTGTCTTGGACACCAGCAGCATGACAACGAAAAGTAGGAAGTTTTGTCGTTGGTTAATTGTACCGGAGACAGTAAGAACCAATCAGAAACGAGAAATCTGGGACTGTTGTGTTAGGAGTCGCAAATTGACCAACGTTATGGGGCTCAAACGATAAAAATTGGACCCGTTCACGCAACCTGAAACGACAACAGGGAAACCAGAGGTAGCAGACATAACCGCCTACCAGAACAGACAGACCATCTGAATGGTTAGATAAGCAAAACGGGCTTAGGGGCATGAGTAGGCTGTCCCTCATGATTGATGGGAACGCAGTGAAAAGGTGAACGTGAATCATCACGATTCACTATAATGCCTCATTACTTAGGAAAATTGGCAATCAGTATGACACCGTTGCCAGATTCTGTATAACGCGAAATCAACCACTTCAAGATACGCGTTGGTCAAATAGGTTACTTTTCTTGGTTACCTTTCGCATCTGCTCTTGATTCAGCATTTAACGCAGACTTCAATTGTGCATGTGTACAAGTAAAGTTGCAGGCTTCTGCACAAAATGCTTGATGATTTTGACTTGTTGAAGTTAAAAAAGTGAAGATAATAAGCCGATTTATTCACTACCGCCACAATCTTACTTTTCCAACCAATCACTGTGAGTGCTCACGACAACCAACATCTGTTTCAGGCCTGATAGACGCCTGAAGGGATCGGAGGAGGCACGCCGAATGCTAGCGGGCGGCACTAGTGGACACCCTCTGATGGAGACGGACTTCGACACAGGCGAGCTGCCATGCCTGCCGGACGCCTACAAGATCGAGTCAGTGGCGAATCTGCGAGGTGCAGGCCTAGACGCCAGCATGCCCGACGTCTCTAAGGGCGTCGAAGGCATGCTGCTGGGCAAAGGCGGCCCTGGGGCCACGCGATTGGGCATTGGGGGTCTCCTCACGCGAGACGAGGTCTGTCGTCTGGGCCAGCAACGCCGGCACGAACTTCTCATTGATCGTGAACGCAAAAAGCGAGGCGAGATCATCATTCGTTTGGCTGACATTAAGGTACACCATTGAAAAGACATCCAGCTACGTGATACCAGATCACTCTAGGTCAAGCCTGTTGAGACTGTAAGGACTAGTGAGGCTTCGGGTTGAAAATGTTGGAACAAGCTCGTTAACTGAACTCAAACGAGTTGTTTTATGTAATTCAAGCAAAATTTGAAAATCGCTGGCTGGCAGGACCAATCGATCAACTTGCGAATTTATCCAATAACTACTACCTATATTTAAGTAAAAAAGATTGTTTAATATGCAGGATCGAATTTATTGATTGTCGAATTTTTGCAGGATTGGCTGTGCTCGAACATCGTTGTAGTGATGGTGCTGCTTTTCAACGTTTGCCTGGCCTTCCTGTTTATAAATTTGGTGAACAACGCAGGCAAAGTCGGTCCATCGACAGGCCAGGTGTCCGAGCTCTCGCCGGAGGAGAAGCGAGTAGCCGCGAGCGCCGCAGCCGAGGCAGTTCAAAAGGCCCTTCGGGCGGCGAATGCGGCCTCGCGCACTGCCTCCGGCTCAAGGTCAAAGAGCTAGCACGCATTTTCGACCCACCGCCACCACGACCAACAACTCCAGCTTTCATGTTAAGCTTTCTATCGTCCTCTCGAAGGCTTCTTTCGACAGCACATCGCCACGAGTACACGGCTGCCGGCAGCTAGTGTTACCGCCACCAACTAAACCCTCTTTTCGCGCCAAACTCCCACCCACACACACGCTAGACCACCACATTGACCTTGGCATGTCCAATGGGCTTTCGCTCTTTTTTGAAACTGTGAAGGACGCTCGAGAACGCAAGAAATACGTCCGTTTGCTCAACCCACAAGGAGTGAATTTTGGTCCCGTCTAATTTCCCCTTCCCTCGGCACTCCCTTATCTCCCTACCAGTCGAAAATCGGGCGTTTAACTTTCGTGTAGAAAATGATCAACCCTTGCTCCGTGCCACCTCCAACCACCACTCCTCAAGCTCCTCTAACTTAGTGTTTCTGTAAATGCCAGCCAATGACTCGATTCTTCTTCTAACCGATGCCGGAGTGGACAGTAGAGAGAGATGAGTAGGTTTTAAATGCACTACCTTATACATGCATTACTGACTTCTTCGGCAACGACCAATTCACCTGTTCACACCGTCTTCTTCCCTTATGCTGTTTATGCGCTGTTAGAATTAACTTCGGAGACTGTTTCTGCTCCGGAAAAACGTATATAATATACATATATGCAAAAAGAAGCTAAGTGACGACATTTTCCGCATGGTGACGATATAGAATCAACGCAGTGGTTACTTTTTACTCGATTATGCGATTAACAAGCTTATTGAGATCAGCTTCCAATTCCTCTTAACAGATAAACCTTTCCACTACCGCAAGTCCAACTTAAACAATTCAGTAAGGTATTAATAGGGGAATAGACTGTCGCAACTATTAGGCATTAGCCACCGAAACGACAAAATCCGTACTACTTATTTTACAGATAGTAGCGATAGTAAAATACATATTTAACACGAAGGTTGTACAAAGGGAATTAACAAACGCGTCCTAGAAGACGAAGAGCTACAAAAGAGAGCGCTTTATCGGTTCCTTGAAATTTCATACTACAAACGAAGCACAGAAGAAACATAGGACTAAAAAGTTCGTTACCCTAAGAATGAATGCTGTCTATCACAACCAAACTTTCCAAGTACAATCATTGTCCACCACATTAATTCTTACTAGTAACAGTACACCTTTACCACCCTACTTTCACGCAAAACTAGTGGGAAAACAAGGATGTTTGACAGTGAACACGACTAATGCTGATTGGTTTTTTAAAATTGCGAGTTACTCAACGCAGCACCCAACATTCCGACATTTCACTGGGCATGCGCTGGCTGAATCGGATTGGGTGAATTCATCCATCAACAATGCTTTCATTTGTAGCATGAATTAGGAAAAGTGACAAATGAGGCGCTTCCGAATTTGAGCTTGGAAAAATCACTTGGTCAACGTCGTACTAAGGGAAAAGTGAAAGAAACTCGTAAATTTTCATCAACCGATTCGGACTAGTAGCAGAGACCTTTTAAGGGTGTGATAAATTCCTGTCAACGCAATTCTTAAGCACTCAGTCGTTAAAAAAAGCGATTTTCTTAAATAGTGCCGCGATAATAAACTAACGATGGGACGCCTCTCTGTTTCTGTATGGTCCAAATCGAGGTTTAGCCTAGGAGCCAAATCTCCACAAAGTTGAGGCATTTTAGTTCAGGAAATGAACAATTGACAACTATGCGCTGGTAACTATTGGTGATCAAGTTGAGTATTAATCACAAATTTGTCTGCAGTAGTATGTAGAAGTTGAGGGGCAAGAGTATCGCAGCATGAACACTGTCATCGGCATTAAAACAGAAAGTAAACCGAGGTAGAGACTAGATTAGCACAGCAGGATATCCGTAAATATGTAACCACAATAAGGTTAATAAAAGGAGCGGCCAAAGTACTATTCTTTTTCAATACGGATTCGAAGCAATGGGAGTTTAAAATGGCGTAAAATTGACGTGCAAGAGCATCGACCCAGTCCGCACAACGACAAACTAGCAAAGCTAAATACATGCCTCGCAGAAGAGCAGTCAATTAGGTAGTAGGTGTCAATAAGATTAAAGCGATGCAAGGTAGCATCAAAAATGAGAGGCACATTTTCGGAGCAGTAAAGAAATACGAGCTGAATAAGGGGAGATATTAGACCAAAAAATAATCGCATAGGAAATTAAGGCAGCGATAGATGTAGACACAAGACAAAAATAATTTCCCACTCAAAACTATGCAATGAAACCATTTCCACAAATAAAGCGACATACGCGACCAGGAGATTTTACACCGACAACTTTCCATATAAAACCGCATAAGGGCACCCTTTGCAAATATTCAAGTACCACATTACTTACAAGGCACTTCAGATTGAAAAACACTTTATTATAGGGAAACTGACAGATTAAACCAGGTCAGGCAGGTGTTGGATTCCTTCCTTATTCACGACGCGAACAGAGAACCGATCGTTGTTAACAACAAATCGTTTTTTCAGCTCACGGACGCAATTTTCCAGAAGTTCTAACGCACTGTCGACGCTCATCGAAGGATCGTACTGGCTATCCAAAATTCCAAGAGCAACAAAGCCGCCATGACCATGTACAGCATACGGTACATTAATCATGGAAGCCAGATAATCCATATAGTACAACTGAGGTCCGTCCTTCGGGTCGTAACCAGCGAGTAGCAAATTAACATTGTACGGAGTCCTGCTGCGAAGAGCTTCAGCCAAATTCCTCCTAGTAAAGTTTGCAGCTGCATAAGGTGTCAACTCATAACCATTTCTAATCTCGTACAGCTGCATGTTTTGTTGAATAAATTCAGCAAATTGAACAGCATCGCCAGCCTCACCACAGACAGCCATAACACTATGATTACTTAATTTGAACATTTTGTCAGCATCGCCTTTTAGTGTTATGATAGAAAAGTTTATTCTGGAATCTGCAGCAATAATTACAAAGTCTTTAAAAGCAATTCCAATAATACACTCCATCACAAGACCTGCAGAATCAGAATATTCATACACGCCGGTATAATCAAGTGTACTATTAAACACAATTACAAAATTTTGTTTAATTTCACCGCAGTATTGTAATGATCAGATTTATAACAGTATAAATTAAATGCATAAACAGTGGTAAAAAGATGCTTAGGCAGAGAAATTAATAAGGATTTCGGCAGGTACTGAGATATCAGTGGTGAGTTAGAATTACCTCAGCAAAGACCTCGGAATAAGATTTAAGGAATACAGTGTTCGACATGAAATATTTTCCGCATGATCTTAAAACGTTATGACTAATGTCTTTGAGGAGACGCAGATATGTGTAATTTTCTTTATTCCGTTGTGGCCTTAGTTGTACATTTTAAACTTATTTTAAAATGTTTAGGAATTACTGTGGTTATCGATTGGTTCTTGGGTTTTTAGTCAATGCGAGCTTTGGATTAAAAAATATTCTGCCCGTAATAAGATATTATTACACGCATTGTTATACTTCCATTTAGACATCAAATCAGAATTAATTTTATCAAAATACTTTTCCTGATTTTATTGTTTAAAAATTTCTTCAAAAAAGCGATTAAAGCTAATTAACAGACGGTGTATTTGTAGCGGATTAAATCTTGTACCGTTAATGACTACGTATTGCTGACTTTTTGTAGGAATCATTTATCCTATGCACATACTACAAATGTTCGTATATTATATGTATGATAAACCTATTACAATATCATTTTATGGCAGCATGGCAACTGCTGATCCCTAGACAGGTGTCATGTATATAAAATTACCTGGCCATAAAATGTGTAGGTTGATAATTTGGTAATTATGTAACAACTAAAATATAGGATATCTCGTTACACAGACCATCAACACGTCAACCGTTGGCTACACCCTAATGCCTAATCGAGTTGTCTAGAGTCTGTTCTATGTCAATTAAGTTAAAAAAAATAAACACATCGTTAATAAGAGATAAAAAATCTCCCAATTCTACTTATTTTCAATTCTAATTAAAATTAACTTTCTATGTTGGCAAGGAGTTCAATGTCAGCTCTAACAAATTCGATAAAATTTAATGGCTATCGGGAATTTTATTCAGAAATTGAAAAGAAACACAATTTTGAATTTAAAACTGACTTTAGGTGATTTCATCTGCTAAAAAATTACAACTGAATAAGTTAACACTACTATTTTGGGTTAAAAATGCCAATTAGTCAAACTGTAGACAAATTTTTGAGGAGAAAGGAAAAAAACTGGATTTAACTTTGCAAGAGACATCACGGCATATGTGACGACCATGCTCAGAAAAAAAAAACCTTTTTGCATTTTGGTTCCGTTTAAAAATAGTACTATCAAGGGAGAGGCTTAGAATCATTTGAAACATAACGTAAATGAACATAATTTAGCAACTTAGACCATTCAACTCGGTTTTTATTTTGCTTTAAAGCAATAAATAACTCAATTTGGTAACACTAACGCAAAATCTGACAATTCAATGCTTCTTTATCCATTTGACTTCATAAAATCTCGTGAAGTTTTATAATTGCACAATAACTGTTTTGCATAAAAAGAGTTTAATCAAAACTTTTTTAGCGTTTTTAATTCAAGGGCCTTTGAAAACCTAAACTCAGATTTCAGAAACAAAATTCTTTCAGACTTTTTACTGATAGTTTTAATATACAGTAACTACTTCCAAACTTAAGTTAAAATATGTCCAAAAATCAATGCAGGAAAAGGATAAGAGGTGTAATGCGCTAACAGTTTCCAAAAGGGAATAACTACTAAATCTTGAAATGGACTCTGGTCCTAAAAATTCAAAAATAACAAGTTTACATACCCGTAAAAGAAATAAAAGAGATCAATTATATAATCTATGGATGCAAATAAACGAATTTGTTGTAAATTTGTTAAAAAATTACTCAGAGAAGAAATTAGTGGCTTTAACTGAATCATAAACCTGTTTAAAATTCATAAAGCGCCTATTTTGAGGGGACTTTTTCGGTTTTGGTCGCCATTCTGTCCTTTAAATACAGATGGTTAGTCATCGAAAGTTCTGATCGAGTTTTATTTGATTTAGTTTAGCATTTGATGACGTAAATGTTTTGTTATCACGTTTGTTCTGTATATGTCATTTTGTGGCCCATAATTGCTTCATTCGTTTCTTTCATACATTTTCATGCCCATTAACGGAAGAAATTGTTCTTACATTCTAACTTTGTGTTATTCTTTTTCTACTGTGAAATGGCAATTAGTTATAGCAGTGTGTCATTTCTGTTTGGCCATGATGTGATGTGTACCCGTATGGTCCTTTCTCAGTCAATATTTTGTTTTGATTACTTCCTGCTTGAACGTCATTTCATACCCCGCATTGTACATTTTTAGTTAATCACTAATTTTTACTCTAACGTAAGGATAGTTGATTTGAATCTTGACCTTTCAACGGAGATGATACGCTTTGTGGCCATATTCATCTTCTCTAATTCACTGATTTATTAATTAAAAAAAACCTAAAACAACATCGTACTGATCCTGTAACTGATTTGGAAACTACGTTGGTAATACTTAGAAACCTCCTGACAACACGTCTTTGATACTTTAACTATTATCGTTCGTAGTCAATCTGCCTAGAGCAGAAAAACTACGAACTCCTTTGGAAAAAAATATTAGCCGACACTTCACGACACGAACATTGCATACCTTGTAGTTAAGTTAATGAATAATATACTCTGGTATCTTTAAGGTACCTCAGATCATGTCTTAATTTATTCTCACCAGGTGTCTTAATTGTATGCTTGATAGCTACGACGTCCTTTGCACCATGTTTTATAGTGCAGAGGAATTTTGCCGTCAGTTTTGCTACTTACTTAATGCACTTATCGTTTGACTCAATACAAGCAACGTTATTTTAATTTTTGTCGGTGTTTAGTCTATTTTGAACAGGAGTTAAGCTACTTTACACTTATCGCTCTCTTTAGCATCGATTTAATGAGCCAGATCAACGGATCAGGGCCGCCGAGTTGGCCCTCGCGCGAGCTGTGGCTGAGCGGGAGGACGCAGAGGCTGTGGTGAAAGAGCTGCGTCACCAGCTATCAGATTGTTCGGAACGGGCCCAAAAAGCTGAAGCCGAGGTTACTCGTCTTCGTCGTGCAGCAGCGGACTCAAGAGACCAATTAGATGAGTTGGTTGAGGCCAAGGCCGATTTGGCCGCACAATCTGAAAGAATTGAAATGTACGTCTAAAAAATTGTCACGTACCATCTGATGTGTGAGTGGACGCTTTATTAAAGCGCCCAGGTCAGTGATTCGCTGGTTTAATATCTCCTTATTTGGTGTTGTCCAGACTGCCGTTTTCCGTGGCGCTAGGTTAATTTATTCGAACTAGTGTAATTTGAAGACATTTTAATTTCCAGCACCTCTAGTAGCTTCTACTCCAAGTGTGTACGTCAGGTTCCACACCTATTTCCATAGTGATAAGTAAATTTCCCCATTGGTTGTTTCTCTTCGTTAAAGATAATTTTTTCGAGCACATTTCCTCTAGTAAACATTCCCGTTGTCTATTAATGGCTGATGAGGTTGTCGCGCCTTGCTCTTTCTAGAAGTTATCTTGTTTCCTCCTAGTCTTGAACGGCGGTTGACTGAGGCGCAGACAAAGTCTGCAAGCTATCGGAAGCTGGAAACAGCCAATGAAGATCTTCGACAGCAACTAGATGATCGCGATAAAAGAGTACTTTCCTAAATTACTTCTCTCATTTCTTGATGAATGTAGATAATGTCGCTTCTTGAAAAAATTGGCGAGACAAAAAACCGACAAATGAGCAATGTTGAATTCGAAAGGCTTCGTTTACGTCTTGCGCATGCCGAGGCTCAGGTATGTCAATTTGGTGTCTGAAAATCCAACTGGGTGAAGTAGTACGGGATGTAATATTTCTATTTTTGATATTATGAGTGACAGCCTCATATTGCTTTGCAATCAAACATCCTATCCTAGGTTCTTCATATACACGAATTCCCATTGTAGCTTGGGCCAAAATACACAATTTTAGAAATCTGACTACCTAACTCAAACACTGCCTGGTGCCCGAAAATGCAATCCCTTGGTAAAAATGTGAAATTCAGGTTGCAAGTTCACCAAAGGTAAATGCCTGAACTTGTAGCCCGCTATATCGTCAAACCTATTACTGGACTTAGTTTTATAATTGTAAATACTGTTAGATGGAGGTCCAATATTTTTATGAAGTTGCAATTCACGCCACAGCTCAGAATTCAGTGACACAAGTAGACACTACTTTTCACAACGAGAATGGAAGGAGCAGTGGTCGATTGAGTGAGTTAGATTCGCGGCAGGTTGTGACGTGAGTGCGAATCGAACTCGTTGAAAACCCAGCAAGTCTAGGGAATGGGAAAATTAACTACGTTTATGTCATGCACTGGTAAGCCCTCTTAACTACATAGAAGTCTACAAAGCATTGTGTTTCAAGTTGGGTTAAAATCATGGCGATGTATAGGACGTAGCCTGGGTGCATTTCTGTATACTAGTTCGGAGACTTGGTCAGTCGTTAAAGTTCCTCGAAATCTGGTCCTTTCATCAAAAATTTTGGCGGTAAAATTACTTGAATCTGCAATTTAGTGGTTGTTTAAACACGAAGGAGGAAATTTACCAGTTACGCAAAACGATTTAGGAATACAAGCATTTTTGAAGTATTCATGCTCACGGAGGAAGATGGAATTTACTTGCTATTTGGAAAACAGTAGTTGGCCACCGTGCAACAATAAAGTCACTGGCTCACCCCACCTGCTGGCCATTTAAACCGTAAAAATCTCAATATTTAAGTTTCAATGTGTACTTTTTAACCACCAGATTTGTGTAGGGGATAACCGATCTGAAGGTACAAAGTGCTTTACCTCATTATTTTCCCACAGTCTCACCCTAGCGTCATCTTAGCTCATTCAGTAAACTGCTGAGTTCTCGTCCTTCCGACATGTTTTTTTCTTGCCTTTTTCAGTTAGCTGAGGAGTTGCGGTACCGCGAGGCCCTTGAGCGCGATATACGCACTCAACAATCTGCCTTGCAGCAGTTCCACATTGACAAGCGTATCGCCGAGAGGCGAAAGAATCAGCAATTCGGCGAGAACATTATGGTCAATCGGCCTGCTGATGCGCCTGGTAGCAATGGGGGTACGTGGTCGCTTCAGACTCAATTTAACTTGCAATCGCTAAACTTCACAACGGGCCTTTTGCCGCGCTGTTTTTGGCGAAGCTGTCCTTTCGCCAGTTAACAGGCTTGCATTAAGCAGGGTTTTAGCTTCAGATATGTCAAAGTGGCGTCTTGTTGTATCCTGTGTCGTTTTTCCACTTATGCTAAGCTGTCGACGGTGTTTAAACTGCTATAATTTTCTTGTGTCACTGGTGACCCGTGCGGTCGATAATATCGCCCCTCTTTGATTCGACAAGGTAGCATTTTCTAGCCTGTGCGTAACTTGTGCCATTTGAGGGATTTGGACCTTTAACTAGCCTACCAGTTTGCTTGTTGTTGAAAATTCTCGCTTTGGTGTTGATGACATTTAGCGCGATGCTCTTATCAGGAGTGTTATCTTATTTACACGATCAATATCTTAACTAAAGCTGGCTCCCTTCTCCGAAGCCCTGTTAGTCACTTCCTCCTCCAATCTATTGACACGTCTTCACAATTTTTTATACAACAGAACCCATCATATATTCTTGAAGTAAACGTTTCAGTCATTGGTGTAGCCAAAAGATACGGGGGTATCCTGAGACACCTCGTGGTCTTGTCTTCTTAGTTGGGATAGACCGTTAGTTGAACACGTATTGACCACTTTAGTTCCAGTCAATGTTAAACTTAATGACCTCTTATTAGAATAGACTTTCATTCGCGCTCAATGCCCATGCAATTGGCCTTGGATTACCGTTTTACGCATGGCCGCCTTGGGGAATCAGAGCATGTGCAGTGTTGGTAGGACGTAGCCTCGTCTGGGATCGTTGGTGTTGTCAGAGGGGACTTGTAGAAGGTTGGGACCACTTTCCGTCGCCCAACTGCCAAACATGTCTTTCTCTTCTGACTTCGAGGTTCTTTATGAGAATCATTCAATTTCACCACAATCGACAAGTCCATGAGTTTGTGGCTCGTCGGTTCAATCTGTCTGCAGTCTATTGCCACTTTAGATTAGTATTTTTATCCACACGGATATTTTGACCACGGCTACCACGGTAACTGTTGAACAGCTTCATTAACTATCCGGTGATACTTTTGTGGTCTCCATTAAAAAGATGCTAACATGCGTTTCTGGAGGTCCTTGGTTAAATTTAAAACAACTCGACCTCTGTTTAGTTTCCATCTCGCTGTTATCTGACACGTAATGCCTGACTGGAAGTGTTTGTAATCAATTCTGTCGGTTATCCACGATTCTAGCGCACTCCCCTTGTCTGGAATTACAGGTACTTGGATGGTTTTAGGTTATACTTCAAGTTGGTGGCGTTCCCACTTTGATCAATCAGTTGCAAAGTCTTCTGAATCACCAACACCAATGGGACTTCCTGCTTCACGAGATCTGTTTGTTATTATAATCAGAAATTGACCTCTTTTGGAATCATCAAGTATGAAATTAAGGCCCAGTTACCATGTGTCTGGAGTTTAACTGGTAACTGTCACAATTGTCGAAAATCCTGCCAGCAGGTATTTGACGTTCCCCAGAAGCTAGCAATACTTCACGGCTGTTCACAAATTCATCCTGCACTTGGTGAAATTTCGTCCAGAATCTGAGTCTTCTGGATTGGTGCCGTATGTCAGTCTGCCTTTCTGTCACCATGTTGGAAGGCAACTCTACCGTTAGTACCGTCAATATACTATCAGGAATGTACTGACGCAGCAATAGCTTTATGTCCCCTAGCCTTCGTGTTTGAGGGCAGTAAAGTGGTCAATTCATTGTTTGCGTGGTCTCTTGGGTTTAAACTTGCCCACAAATTCGCTCTCCCACGCACGTTTTTGACACGAGAGGAGTGCGCTTCTACTTGAAATGCACAAAGAGTCGCATAATTTAGGAAATATTACAGCAACTTGCATTCATGGGTAATGAACTAATTCACTCCGTCGTCTCGACATCGTACAACTGCAGTGAATCTATTTGGTCGAGCTAACGTTCATCCGATACTTTGTAGTTCCTCTGAAGAGCTTTGTCTTTACCCTGTTCCTATTTAAGGTAAAAAAGGCTTTGAACAATTGCTTGCCTGCTTGAAGTGAAAATAAACATTTGGGTTAATGTCATCATCATCATCATCATCATCATATCAGGACACTGCGATTGTTGCGTGTCCACACTCCTTGGTCCTGCCTAACTTCATTGAGGTGTCTCCTTCAGATGTGATCTTGGGAACCTCGTTCGATGTGAGTGCGTCGGCTATCACCGGCAACATACCACCACTGTCCCTAGACGGCGAGAACCTCGGCGCCATCTTCCAACAGGAACACGAGGCTGCTCAAACTGAGATCCAGAACCTCCAGGTTAGTTGCTCTCGTGTTGGTGCTCGCGTTACTGTTACTGTTTTCATGTGTCTGGGACACCATCACTAAAGTCAACTGGGTTCTGTTTCTCCGAAAAATATGCCCTCCTTCGGACTCGCTTAAATCATTTAGTGCCTTGGTACAGATAATTCATTCTTGAATTGTCCTTTATTCAAACTTTGTTCTTGAAAGGTTGGTTATACTTAAAATTGCCTTTAAAACCTTGTCTTCTTCAATAACGTACTCATGCATTGGTTGATTCATGACTTTGAAGATCTGGGGCTTTCCTTGAATGTCGCTTGGTCAATTTTGCCGTCTTTGCAAACCCGAAACACATTCTTAGACCTTGTCTATTGTGCCTATGCCACACGGCACTACAACTAGGTGCCTCGGTCTATGCATGCTATCTATTGTATTCAGACGTTTTCGCAGATGCCTATCCTACTTCCATCACGTTTTCCACGAGCTGAAGCTTTTACTCGATTTCCAAAAATGACATGTATCGTTCCGTTTGGTCGGTGGGCGTGTGCAGAACTGTGTTCGGCAGCCCAAATCGAGGCTGTCGTCACTGTTCACTTGTGTTCCACATTGATTTGGATAGAAGACTATACAGTAAGGATTACCGTAGTTCCACATGAACCTACTTTTCTGGCCCCATGGTCTGTTTACACAGGATTTTCGGGGTTAAGACGTCTACCGCGTACTTTTCACACTCATCTTGATGCTCCACTTGTCAACGTTGAAAAGGGCTTCTACTGCATTAACGGCTTTCAGCCAATAGGATTTTACTAGGTTGAAAAGCGGCCAAAGCGAAGTGACTTCATGAACGGCCTAAACTGCGTTCATCTCAACGCCTAATGTAATATGCTGAAATGAAGGGGTGTTTCGTGTCAGTTCTGTGGCATGACGTTAACCACTTAATTATGTTTTACTTCGTGCTTACTGAGAAGAAACGCTCAATATTCTGCCTAGGATAAGTGTACATGAACACGTCGCATGTGTCTTTATAAAAAAGGAACGAAATGACGTAATGGGAGCTTTTAAAACCGTATTCTTTTACCTTAAATCTTACCCTTGACATTTAGACCAAGCTCAACGATGCCGTGGTGCGTCTTGAGCTGGAAGAAGCCGAAGTCTGCCACCTCAAGGAAGTCATATCGAAACTCAGTGTTGACCTGGATAGCAGAGATACTGCCGTTGTCATGGCTCACGAAGCCAAGGCAGCTGCAGAAACAGCTCTGCAGCAACTCACAGACGACCTGGCAACAATTGAGGCTCGTCTGCAATTCGACTTCTCCAGTGCTTGCCTTATCACGCCCGAAGCCACCAGTCTTGCTGAGGGTGTCGCAAAGATCCTCAAGGCGAGGGAGCAGGAAGTTCAATCGGCGTGGGATCACGTGAGCAAGATGTCCGCCGAAATAGCAGCCATCAGCGACATTGTGCGACTGGAAAAGGAGGTGCAGACCACCGAGGCTTCGTGTGTGGTAAGCACTCTACACATTTGTAAACCTCCCGTTATCCCTCAGCGTTTGTCGCTACTTGGTAGTTGTGTCGAGTTATTTTAAAGTAAATCAAATCGATTAATGGGGAATATGATGGATACACAGATCATCAGCTGATTAAGCATCGTGATTTAATCTCGCCACTCTAACTTGGAACCGTTCTTCAAAAGCCCTTTCTGTGTTGTATCTGATATGTTTTTTGAAACTCGGGTAAAATGATCTCGTGTCTGGCACTGTTGTCACCGATTCTGGCACGTCCAAGCCGATTTCGCACTCCTCATTTGTAAATTGTGCTGAGTGCCTTGATTGGCCGATGGCTGCTGTCGCCTCCCACTGACAGAAACTTAGATTCCAATCACATTAAATTGCCTTCCCCTGTCAGCGTGGTTGCTGGCACACAAATTTTTCTGACTGCTTGGTATTACGACGTCTGCTTTCTCCCAGGACTGTCCTTCCGTCTCAGTTCAAACAGACCCAGGCTCCCAGGAACAATGCGGGGAGCAAGCAAATCTCTCTGCTGAGGTAATTCAACGCACCAATGAACTCAAGATCGCCAAGGATGAAATCGCCGAGCTGGTAATTGTGGCGATATTTACTCCTGAAAGATTCGCATGTCAAAGGACTCACAAATCGGCTAAATCTTTGTAGCAGTCAATTTAATTTGGGTTAGAGTTGGTGGCATTTTTCGCATTGCTATTAAGATTTGCCTCGAAAAAGGAATCTCCAATAAGTTTGCTCGACAGTCGAGCTTGTTGTTCTATCTAATTTGTGTTCCCACAAGTCGTGGTTGTGCTTGATTGAAGTAATCAATCAAATAAATTGACCTTTCGTGAAAATTTTGATGCTCATCTCTCTTGGTCTTTATGCTTAATTCGCTAGCACGAGCAACTTCGCGATTTGGCGTCAAAGTACACACAAGAACGCGCTCTTTCGGCGCGAGCTCACCATTTCTTGGAACTGAGCCAAGTGGAGGCCCGCAGTTATCACGCGGAGCTGGAACGACTTCAGGCGACGCTGGCAGCTCACGTTAAGCTGCTCGTAGAAAACGGTCTGGGCGGGGAGGAGGCATTGCGGCAGTGGAGTTGCGTGTCTTCCGACGCAGCCGTCTACTCAGAGCAGGATCTGACGCGCCAGTTAAATTACATCGCCACACACCTCATCTTCTATCACGATCAACAAGAGGTAGGCAATTGTAATTGTTGTGTTTGGTATGTAACTTGTTCTCTGCAATCTCCTTGGTGTTCCATCAGGCTTTATTGTACCCTTATCAGAATTGATCTTGCTCATTTTTTATTGTGGGTACTATCAGTTACTCAGAAGTTAGTGAACAGATAATCAGTATTTAAATTCAAATGTTTGTCGCCGTTCTGTTTCCCTAGAGTGTGCTCCGGGATAACGCACGCCTGAAGGAGGAGGTCTGTTCCCTGAGGCGCAGGGTAGACAAGAATCGGGAGATCCAAAGTGGGTGACTCAGCTGCTCTTTGCGCATTTCCTTTTTCTCACCTCCAAGATGTTATTCTCAAACTTTGTGTATTTAGGAAAGTTGCAGGAACTGAACGAAACTTCAGACTTCCTAGAATCCGGATTCTACCAGTTACTTCGAAAGGTGTGTACTCCCTTCTTGGCATTTAGAAGTAGTATTTAAAAAAAATTAAAAGGAAACAATCAGGTGGTGTAGTGGCTTTCGGCAGTACGAGTGAAATCCTTGTACGGCGTGTTGAATGTCATGCTGCGTTTTTACTGGTTTTTCAACTTTATAGCCGTCGTCTAGACAATACAAATTCTTACCATCACGACTTTGCTTCGATGCGAAAGGCAGTCAAATTTCTACAACCGTCTCCTACTTAGAGCTTACTTACTGACGTGTTATCGTTAGCTCCTATTTGACTAAATTATCGACCTGTTTCGTAGTTAATGTCGATTCCAACATCACTTCAAGAATCGTCCCTTCCATGTGTAATCAAATTTTGTTGACAGTTCGTCGCTCCTAGCTTCGCCTGAACCGCTCACATTTTACATGCAACCCTACCCACCAATGTAGTAACGACAAGTACCGTCTTAAGCAGTGTGTGTGTGTTTCCCGTCTTTCCCAGCAAGCGCACCGTGATCACTCTCGCCGAAATACCCATCGGAGGTTCTCTTCACCCATCCAGTCCGCCCGTAAGTTCCCCTTTTCATATACAGCTGCAAACTTGATTGCTAGCGTCACCTAACTGCTAAGGGAATATGTTTTTGGGGCTTAAAGAGTCGTCATTAGCGATGTTGTCAATCAGTTGCCCTTTTTCCTGGTTTTTGTAACCCTGGATTAGGCGGTTGCAGGTATTTTGACGTTTCTGAATAAAAAACACAAAAAAACAGTAAACCATGTGGCAATAATGTGCCTAGTTTTGTCCTCCACTCTAATAAATCGATCAACTTCTGTCTAGACGTCTTCGAAAAATATCCATTCCTCTGGCCGTGGTAACCGAAGCACCGGTCTTACTTGCCTGACGAAACATGGCACTTTTAATTTTAGAGACAAATGTAACTTTGCTGTGCTTTTGGCGCTGTGCCCGCCAGGAGTACTTGAATACAGGGGTACCATTAAAGGTGCTCCAATTTGATCATCCTTCCAACTTCCAGTGCTTGCTTGAGGTTCCACGCATGGTCAGTAGTGCTGGGCGGTCGATAATGTCGCACAGGTTCGGTTGATTTAATCGATTGTCTACCTGCAGTTGAAGAAGACGCTCAAGACACCGATGCGGACGGTTTGGCCTTCACCGACCTCAGTCAGGTCTCCTCCGCCTTGTCCTCCTTCTCTCCCCCACTTCCACCACCCAGCCCTCCGCGTGTGCAGGCGCCAAACTCGAAGCCACTTTTGGCCCGTGACCGCCGTCGGACGGATGTGCCAACGTCACACGCCTCTGCGCCACCTGTTCCACCCGTCCCCAACCCGGCCTCATCCCCACACATGCCGCGTATGCTCTTTTGACCATTAGCGGAAAGGTTTCTTTGTGCCCCATAACGCTAGTGTACTTTGAAGATAGATTCTAGGCAACAGCTTTGGACTGACCGGAGTCGACAGCAGAGGTGTTCTGTTGCCGTCGTGGCCAATCATTTCATTTACCGTTCAAATGATTGACAAGACCAGAACCTGGGCTCTCAGGTGTTTCGCGATCAAGTTCATTCACTAGGTAGCTAAGGAGATTGGAAGTTTTCAGCAAAAACCACCAAGACTCGTCTCATCGTCATGTCGCTTCATTGTCGCTTGTTAGCTGCCATTGATTTTCTCCGCTCACCCACAAGCCACTGCCGCCTGCTTATTCGGTGTCCACCGATTTCGAGACTCGCCTTTCAAATCTCGAATTAATTCCTTTTCTGCCTTTTTAGTCTCCTTGTCAGGTAGGCGCAAGTCCATTGGGGTATCCGTCTCTGGTAGCCCTGATGGTGTTAACCTTGGCGCTTCGGAGAGCTGCAACAATGAAAACAACCAAAATAGCGCCATTCAGGAAAGACCGGGTACGTGATTGAGTGGTCTGTGCTCACAACCGGTAATGCTTGTTGGTTAACCCAGTGCTTTGGATTTAATTGGACTTCAGGTAATTCTGTGGGTTTCTCATGGAGCGTGTTAAAGTTTGTGCACACACACACATTTCATGGTGCTAGTCGAAGCCGTGTCCATTCAGCTCATGCAGGTGTCTTCATTGATGCCCTCGTCAAGTTATAAAAGAGCTGTCCACCTGGGCTCTGATTCACACCAAGACGGTCGCGTGCTCCAGCGATGTGCGTAGCGAGGCTAGATGATGTTATCCCATCGACCAATCGAGGCAGTTCAAGTGGTCATTGAATGACGGAAATCCACGCACTTGGGGTTTTAGGTGGCTTCAAGTTTTGACACTAGCTGGATGCCTTGTGGTGGTGGTGGCGGTGGTCCACATGCCAATCACTTTCTACTTCAACGCGACTCATGCAGAAACGTGTTGTCTTTTACTGGGACTCATGGCTCTTGTTCGCGTAGAGTCTAGGCGCAGGCTTCCAGTGGTGTTTTGCTTTTTGTTTAATGAACTCAACTGCTTGCCCATTCTTTTACCACGTATGCGGTCGCATTGTACACCGTGGTTTTAACAAAGCCAGTTTTGTACATGGGGTTTGTTGTTGAGTGTCCCAAGTGCTGCCCAGTTTCCCAGTCAACGTGCATGAACACGTCGTAATGAGATTCACGCTGCAGTCGTGCTGACGTCTGTTGGCATTTCCGTCTCTTGTTTGATTGCGATGCTGATTTGGATAGGAGCACGCTCCAGGACTCGACAATGTGGGGAATTATGAGAAATAGCACCATCTCATGCAGTGGCTCTGACATCTGTAGTAAAGCCGGGGTTGTAGTCTACGTATAAGTTGTCGTTTGTGTCTGTTTTAGAAGAAATTTTTGCTCGTCTGGCCGAACTCCGGCGGCGCAACGATCTTCAGCCGTTCCATTTGCGCACCAACTATCCCGTCGAAACTCAGGTCTGTTACGACGTCTTGGGTTTGTCGATGAAATTAGCGCAAATACATGCGATTGCCGTTCTTGGAGAGGGGAAAGTGTATGTGCAAATGTATTTCAAGGCGTAAAAGTGTCAGTTGAGAGCCATAAACTCTAGAGAGTTGGCAGTGGTTACGTCTGGTTGAGGTCTGTTGGTGGTGTTCCACGGCACGTTGTAGTTTCGGGTTATTATTTGGCTCAGATGGGTTGTTGTCGGATGCAGTCCCGCATTTTCGTAATCTACTTTATTCACTACTCATTAGCTATGCAGTCCAAATGAGTTTGTGACAGTCCTGAAGAATGTCCAGAAGACTCGTGTCGACCACTCACAAGCTGGCGCGATATCATCATCATCATATGCCGCACCCCGACCGCCACCAACAACTTCGGCAACAGGCGTGCAGTCTCCAGCTCCGGCCGGCCTGTCAATCCGTCCGAAGGGGCTTCAGTCAGTGTCGGAGGTGTTGCTCACCGGTGCGTCGGGAATCGTTGGTGCCGAGCGCATCGATCTGTCATCAGCCAACGTCCGACCCAGTGTAGCTGCCCAACGAGTCACCCAAATCGTTAAAGTAAGTGAGGCCTGGTCGAAGAAAGGCCTTGCTGAATTCGTTGTCATGGTATCTTGCGATTTCGGCTGAAATCTGATCAGTTTTGTCAATTTAATCTCTTCGAACACTGAGTCTTCAGCTTTCTTCATTTCTATTGGCATTATTTGACCCAATCAGCAATATTGCAAATTTTGCAACCCAGTATTCAGCAAATTGCAAATGTTTTTTTTTAAATTTCAGCCGACTCCAGTGGCTGCCTCAAACGTCGTTTCCTCAGTTTCCACGCAAGGCAGAAATCTAAGGGATCAGACCGCGATTTCCGGTGACCCCTCCACCGCAGATAAGCCCCATTCTGATGCCTCATTGAAACCCTCTCAGGCGGTGGTTCGAAAGGTGGGTTTTGCACCCGTTTTAAGCGAACTCTCTACTGATGTCGTCTAAGTAAGCTTTGTGTGTCCGGTTGCAGGCCCTTGCATTCGAGATTGAGCTAAGCCCTCCCCACAGCCGAAAGGCTCCCCCGTCGTGTGCTGGCAAAAAGGGCTCCACGTCTGGAGGCAGCAATGTCCTTTTCATCCCCATCGAAAAACGCCCACCGGCCTCCGTGGCAAAAGCTAACAGGACCAATGCCTCTCACGACCACCCCAAATCATAGCGACGCCAAATCGATGTCGATATTTCCAAGTAGAGGCAAAAGCTGGGGCTGTTTGGTCATTCTCGTGGTGACCCAAGGCCGTGAACACAGACCTTTACGAAGCTGATTGCGATTCCTTATTTTTGACTTTTTTTATGATTGAATATAATGTCGCGTTATCTTGCCACGTCGACGTTTAACCAGACCAGAAGAAATCTGGCGGGTCATTTGTCCGATGCCATCCGATGGAAGTGGGGACCTTTGCAGAGGGTTTTACAGAAGTCGGATTCGAATGAGGCAAACTACTTTAAGACAACGCTTCTATCAACAATTTTAAAATGTACTAATCGCACAATGGCGCTTGTCTTGGTGAGATGCAATTGGAAGTGCAAAGAGAACTTCACCCCCTGCCCACAAATCGTCTCAGTTTTCATAGCCAAAAAACCGGGGCTCTTTTTAGCCATGACAGCTCATGCGTACATGTGACAGCACAGGCATCCCCTTGAGACAGAAATGGTTGTAAACAACGGCGAAATCAGAAATCGACGTTGTTATACTGAGACAAAACAAGTGTCTAGATGTCATTTAAAACTGGAAGAATAGCTGACAAATTGGAGTCGAAAATCACCCGCCTGGCTATAGTAAAAGGATCTGAAATTTTAATTGGCACGTTCTGGGTTAGGTGAACGCAAAATTCCAATCGAATGTGTACGTAGTGTGGCAACTCTACCCTCAACTGGTACTAAGATTAACCCAAGTTTGTTGGAATTGGAATGAGGAGAACAAGTGCGGAACAAGGTGCATGTGTGCGTCAGTGGGAAAAAAATTAACACAAGCAGCTCGCATAGTTCCTCACACAACCCCAGGTTCAGTGCAATCTTCACTTTTATTGACTCTTGTAAAAACTCAGTGAACACTCATGCGTCGTGGTGAATTCCATGAGCAGTGTAAGAAGTGTTATCAGCCCTAACTTGAGCGAAATTTACTGCTACGCGGGTGTAGCATATTTGGGTAAAATCGCCTCGAGGAACTACCGTCGACGTATCTAATTGCCTTCATTTTCTTGATATATTAACTCCGACGCGAAAAAGGATGACTGGGTCAAACAGCGTCTAATTGCAATTAAAATTACATCTCGTCTAGACCAGTGCGAATTGCTCGGGGCTCTTGTAAGCACTCCTGTTATGCGTACAATTTTTCACTGCGAGTTGGTGCCTTCAGTGAAAATGAGGGTAGAAACGGCAAAAAATCAGGTTAAATAGCCCACCACCAAATTCCGAAAACCGACTCAAAGCAAACTAGCAAAATTGGAAATGTTCAATGATTATGCCAACCTCACGAAACCCAGATACACCATGCAGTGCGCATCAACAAACCCCTGAAGCACACCCTAAATGTGTTCTGCTCGATTTTAAACAGATAGCTAAGTTCTTGTAAACGCGCACGTGCCTTTGCCTTTCGTGCATGAAATTACTCAAGTGGTTGTGCACACTATTATTGCACAGTACACGCTAGCCAATCAGATGTGAACACACCCCCTGACCTCCTTGTTTATGCTTTCTCGGTGGAAGTGCACGCCACCGATGACGCGCTGAATAAACGAGAATGCCCCTTCCAACGTGCTCTCCAACCTGTTTGTGCATGATTGATGGAGGGGTGCGTGTGTGCGTGCGCGTGTGCATAGTTCCATGTCGAAGTGGGTGACCTTCGGCCAGCGGAATCGTGTATCAATGTAACCACAGTGTAGTCCATTAAAGGCTTTCAAAACAATACGGCATTGTTTTCTGTGCTTGTAATTGCAGGATTAATCAGGGTCGGCATTTTCGTTGCAGAAACGAGTGTGCTTTGTTTGTTGCCGGGTTTATTGGTGTCAAAAGTGGTCTCTTCGTTTTATCGTGTAAAAATTGGGGACTGAGTAGTCATGACAGCTGAGGAGTGCGCATGATAGCACATCTAGCAGAATTTCCCATAAAAAATCATTGAAGCACAAAGGTAAAACGATTTTCTTTAGCACCAGAAATGGTTGTAAGCAACGGCGACATCAAGAAATGGCCTTTGTTATTCTGACACAGAAAAAGTGTCTAGATGTGATTTCACTTGACGTACGTCTAGCCCCATTGTGGCATGTGAGCCTGTAATAAATCGATAAGGCAAAGTGATTTAGTCAAATGGGTTTCTGTGGAAGTGGTGGTGGCTGTGGGAGAAGTAGTAGATGTAGTCGTAACAGTCGTGGTAGTGTGATATTCATGGTTATTACTAAAGCATCAGGTACATGTCTGCTAACTGAATTGGAATGACTAATTCGCAAATGCTTTCACCATTATTAGAAGGTCAGAATGGTTACTATTAAGTCAGTTAAAGAAACAAATGTGCTGTGGTTCATTTGGTTTAAATCGGCAACGCAATTGCTACTTCAATCTATACCACATGCATTTAAGTCACGGCCACTTTCGCATCTCATCAGTGGTTGCATCGTGCTACGGTGTCGCATCACCGTTATTCACGCATCTCTGCGCCTCAAGGAGTAAACACATCAATCCACTACTGCGTTAACACGCAACAACCAATGACGCCAGCTAAGTAGACACAAAACACTAATCCTCCTACCTGTTGCCATGGTGATATGACAACATCGATGAATGAATGCTACGGCAAATATCACATCTCAATTGTAGTCGCATTGACACTTACGACTGGTTAAATCCCGCCATTGCGTGAAAAGACTTTAAGAAGACCCTTGCGATCTTCATGTGATATTGTCAATCAAGGCAGCGAGGCCGTCACCTCAAGGCCAATCATGCAAAAAATCATCACCCGAATCAATAGCGAATTGGCCATCCACAACACACATACTAGCTCATCGCCAAACAGCGTCTCAGCTATGCCTTTGAACTCACGCGGGGTCATTAGTCGTCGTGAGAATTCCCGCCAAAATGCCTCAGCAACATCTTACCTTTCACTCTCCCTTAAAACTCATTTGACAACTAAATATCACAGCAACCGCAATAATACCTCGTCTTCAGGCGTCAACCAGGGCATAGCTACTTATGCCCAGATAGCAACACAGCATTGATCTCATACGCTAAGGTAACGAGGATCAAGACCCATCACTTTCACACCCGATTACGTTTCACGTTTGCCGACTTCATTAGTCACATGCAGACAACGTTTGCCTTTGTATTAAATTGGGTGACGTCCTGCATTTATTGCCAATAATGGCATTAATTATAACTGTTTACTTAGCTGCATTGACACATAAGTCCGCTGACGGTTAGTCTCCGTCTTCGTGGAGATATATGCACACGTACGCGAGTAATTTTCGTCGAAGGCGGCCGCTACCTCTAAGTCAACCGCATGATGGCTGCTTGCGCTTATGCGGTGAACGCATTAACAAGGTGGTCGGAAGGTATGTAGATGTCTGCTTGGTCAAAAAGGTTCGTGCTAGCATTGCTGTAACTAGCGGTGTGCAACTACAACTGAGTCTCTTCAAGCAAGAAATGCAGCCGATCGCACGGACTAAGGAGATTATAAAATTGGATTAGTTTCAACGAGAACTGCGCTACAGTGTGCAATCGGTCTGGTTCACTTGGCCTTAAAGGGTGCATTTGAGGTCGGTGAGGTATTCGTCTAATCCACTATGCCGACTAATCGATAATTTGCAAATTTAATGTGGCAGCTGTAAATAGACTGCAAGAAAACACGATTTTGGCGTCATTTCTAGTACCGCCAACTTTCTGCCTATTGGCGATCTCGCTTATTCTCATTGCCACGGTTGAGAACTCCAAGTCGTGGGCGGCAAGGCATAATTGCGGGGCCCATTTTCACTCCAAGCACAAACTGCACTAAAATTAGATACCGTCACGGCAAAAATGGTCTTTTGACAATCTGCATAGATAGAACATGGGCTTGCGAAACATTCATCTGACTCGAAAACACCCGTTAGGATATTTGCAAATATGTACTCGTTTATTATGACAATTTTAAATTCATACAGTACACCCAATAAAGCAATAGCCTGAGTCATTTCCCCTGACACCAAAAATGGACAATACTGAAAAACCATAGCTGAAAAAAGGGTGGTCTCAAGCATATAGAAGATTCAGAGACACGATCGGTTGCTGAGTCGGTGGGATGAATGTAACTCAACAAACTGACACGCCCATCGCTTCCACAGTTTGCAGTTTTACTATAGATATATGACAAAAAGATCACTAGAACTTTCATTGCTTTATAATTAGACACAAACCCTGGTTCCTAACTGGTGGTCAATGCAATCATTTAAATCAGTGATTCAGCAATACGCGGAGTCACCTAGCCAACCTTATAGCATCACACGACTACATGGTATGAGAACTGGCAGTCACTAGAACGCCGCAGACAAAGCCCGTCAAAAACTACTACAGTTAGCATTTTAAAAAAATTTTTAGGATACTATATTTGAAATTGGCAAAACGGCATATACAGGCGCATTCAACAGTCATGGAAAAAGCACCGTTGCAAAGTCCGTAAATGGCAGTTGAGGCGATGAATTCCGAAGAACAAATTGCATCCGAATTCCGCCATTGTTCCACTCGAGGTTGATTGACGAGTTTGGGACCACACATTAGCAGCACGAACAAGGTTTTACGAAGTCCTCCAGAGACACACTTTTGAAGCCTCGCGCTGGTGCTTCTGCTGTCTGTCAATTCATTGTCGACCAGTCTGTTTGATTGGTGTGCCTGAATTGCAAATGCACGGAAAGAGCGTGTCAACGAGCTATTTGATAATGATTCACACGACAAATACAACTTGGCTACTTGGTTGCAACTTACGGTCATGTTCTGACTCCTTGTCAAATGGTATTTGCTTTGCAATGGCTTTTGAGACATTAGAAGCCGCTTGGATCACTTCGGTGCTCTTCCTCTTGCGAGGCGCCTCTGGGCACTGTTCAGTTGACTGTGGAATACGAGGCGCTGTTTGAAGTGGAGTGGTTTCTGATGGCGTCGTTGTCGCATGTTCCTTTTGCCCGCTCATTTGTATCC